ATCGCCTGGAGAGCCTGGTACAACACCCGCAGCTTTCTGATTTGGTAGGGTTTGCTCTCTGGTCCTTGGATTTGCATTTCTAATAAGTTCCCAGGCGATCACACTTTGAGAATCACACTCTAACCTGAGACTTACCACTCCATCCCATACCCTTTATTCATGTCGAGCTGCTGAGACTGTCTTGTCTGTCTTTGTATTCCCATGTTCTACAAACACCCTGTTTGTTCCTGAGTGAATTTGTGTGGGGAAAATAAAAAAACAACTTGAAAGAAAAACATGCAATGAGTGATAATAAATTCAGTATTATATTTCACATTTTTTAATCCTAACTTTAAATTTTTTTTCAGTTTCTCTTGAAAAGAGGAGGATGTAGCAGCCATGGGCCAGAGTCCTACATGGCAACAGTGGGCTGCCCTAAGCAGTGCTAGCCCTCAGTCCACGACTGCCACAAGCCCTTATTGCATTGGCCTGGGCCCCAAAATACTGGCACTTGTACCCCCAGGTGAATAGTCTCCTGGTCTGTCTTCTGCTGTCACACCCTGTTCCTGAGGTCTTGCTACAAAAACGGTGGCAGTTTGAATAGAAGGCTGGGCAGTTTGGGAAAGGGAATTGATTGCAGAGGGGAGAATGGTTGATATCTTAGACTGTTATCCCATCACTTAGGTGTAAAGTGTTTGGGGCGCTAGGTGAGAAAGTGGCCAGTGCCCTGGGGGGAAAGAACAGGGCGTTGGCTAAAGGAGAGTAAAAGAAAGAGGAAAACAGAACTGTCCAATCCGGGCCCTGAAATATTACAGCGTCGGTTTCCTGAGCGTTTACTCTTCGCCAGACATTAGAATTCCACTTTCTGTGCAGACTCTGATTTCATGATGAATCCCTGGGGGATAGGTAGGATTATCCCCTCTTGACAAGTGGGGAGACCAAGGTTCACGGGGGTTAACAATTTGTCAGAGTTGGAATTTAAATTCATAACCACTTGACACCAGAGCCCATGCTTTTAACCACTCTATTGTAGTACTGCGTCTTCCACAGGCTGCTGGGAGACATCTCCAGCAGAGGAGAAACAGCCTGAGCAATGGCAGGAAGGCTTTCGATGACAGAATGCCCCATTCTGGTGAGTGAGCGTGGTTCTCCCGTAGCGCTGTCAAGGGAAGCGTGTATAGATGACACTAGAGCAATCCCCTGGGGCTGACCCAGGAATGGCTTTTATGCCGTGTTCAAGTTAGACCTTATGAAAGGCTTCAACATGAAGAAACAAAAGAAAAAGATTATCCTCTCTTGAAAACCTTCAGGCATTCAGCCTGGGGGAAAATATGTATGCTCTTGATTTCTGTACTTGAATAAATTCATAAAAGAACTAGAGAAGACCAGAAAAATGTTGGTTCAGAAAGAAGGGCTCTTCAGTGGGAAAAGGGCAAAGGGGACGTCCCTGAAGTCTGTCATTTCACAGACAGCAAGGGGAGGAGGAATGCGACCAGAAGTCTCTACTGTAATCAGAGGACATTCTGCATTTTGAGGAAGACAGTGGTTCGCAACCTCCAGCTGCCCCCCATACCCACAGGCCTTTCTCTGAAAAGCCTTGCCTTGCATCTGGTGATGTAATCATCCCGTCAGAAGCAGTAGGGCCAGGAGCCTGCCAAAGACAGCCATGTAAGGGAGTCCAAGTGGCTTGTCAGGAGACCCCCTCCCCAAGGAGGGACAGTTTTGCTCGTGTGGGGGGGGGGGCGCGGTTGTCCATACTGAGTGGTGGCAAATAGACACAATCATTCTCTCTCCTGGGATGTTTCTAATTAAGATGAACCAAAAGAGAGAGCCAGCAGGAAGCAGAAGCGGAGAAGTAAATATCAAGTCAATGACAGGACAATAAGCAGTAAATATTTATTTGATGACCCAAGGGAACCAATGTAGCAAATAGTTAAGAGCACACATACTAGGGTTCAGTTCCTTGGGTTCAAATGCACTTACCATCTCGGTGACCTTGGGTGACTTCCTTAGCCTCTCTGAGTCTCATTTGGAAGAAATAATAGAGCCTGCCTCACGGCCTGTTGTACAGTTACGTGAGATCATTTATATCAAGTGCTTAGGGTATTCCTCGCCATATGCTCAAGTGGTGGGTGGCTGCTACTATTTTCTTATGTCCTGAAGGAAACATACTATATTCAGGTTCTCCACAGAGTCTGCCAGTGCAGCTGTTGGGACAGATTCCTGGGTTTCCTTTCTTTTTCATAAAAGCCTTACACTAAATCCCTGGGTCCCTTCCTTTGAAGTCGGAAAGAAGCTAACGTGGTAAGCTTGGAAGTGAAGAGAGAAAGCTTCACTTCAAACGCAGAGAACAAGAGGGTGCAAGTTGATAATAGAAACATACTTTCTAAAAGGTTAGATTAAGTCACAGAGAATAAAGTCGAGATTGATTGCTAAAGGAAATCAGGACGTGTTGGGTTTCGTCACTGTCCTTTGAAGTTGACACCAAGGACAATAACTGCAGCCTTCCACATACCCTTGAGTTTCGCTGCCAATGACAATAGTAGGCTTAATGAACCATGGTTCTGATGAGATACGACAATTTTTGTTCTTACGTACATAAGCATTTAATCATCACATCTCACAATGCTAAAACCTCTTGAAGCTTGAAAGAGATTTAGGACTAATAAATTAGTTATTATAATGCATGCCGGCTGCATTATGCTTTAGGATTTGCAGACCGTTTTGGGGACGTTATCTCGTATGATTCTCATGTTATCTCTGTGAGGTAGGCAGGTGGGAGAGTAGGTGGATGTAAGGTAGGAAACCCCATTTGGGAGGTTCAGGGGGATAGAAGACTGGGTTGAGCGCATATAGCTATTAACTAGTAGAAGTGAATGCAAACTCAGACCTTGCGATTCTCGGTCCCATGCTACTTTTACTAAAAGAGTGGAAGTTTTTGCAACTTAACATCCTCAGAGGTAAAGCTTAACGTTGGTTTCAAGAAGGCGGTCAAGTGAGAAATGAGCATCTGTTGCACGAGAGGCGCCCCCCCCCCCCGCCCCCTGTGCCTGTGGCCGGCTGTGCCAGTCAGACCCAGACATCTCCACCGCTGATGTGCCACGGGCTTCGGAACCCTCCCAACACAGCGCCCAGGGGCGCTGCTGAAAGACCAGAGCAGACACATGATTTTAAACTTATTTTGATGAAAGGAAGGTTCACGGGGCATCTCCAAGGAGGCTGAACGCCTACCAGTACTCATGTCAGCCCCATTCTCCTGGGCACGTTTTCCTGCCTGCCTTGCAGTCAGACGAGGCCACGGGATTGGGTTCTGGAATGGACCATCAATGGGAGTGGGTGATTCTTTCCTTTCCCCTATAACCGAGTGAACTGGCAAGTCTCTGAAGATGTAGGGGACAGCTGAGGCACAAGACGGATGGAAGTTGGGTCCCTGAATGGCTGGAGTAGCCCCCCATCCCTAAGCAGCCTACCCCCTGCTTTGAACTATGACTTGAGAAATAAGGCCACTGTGACCTGGGAGCTTTGCTTCGGCAGTTCATCTCCGCACTGGAGTGAAGGTTGGCTGCTGGTGGTTATGCCCTTCCTCGAACCATCTTTTGGTGTCATTCTCACAGGCAATGCCGGGTCAGATGGTGGTCTCCTCACATGTTTCCTACTTCCAAATGTGAAAGACCTCACGGATGCACACTACAGTAGGTTTGTTTTCTCTTTCTGCTCCTCAACACCCCCCTCCCATATGGGAGAAACCCCTAGTTGGGTGATTTTGTTGGGACCTCAGGAGTCTAAGGATCAGCTAGCTACTCTCTCGTTCCATCCCCTGCAAATTCGTCTGGGCACTTGACCTAGATTCTTCCAACTGAATGCTGACAGCCAGGAGGCCAAATCTTGAGCAAACGAGGCACAGAAGCAAGGACAGTTAAGAAATCGGTCTCTGAAGCAGCACACTGAATCCAGGTTGGCGGGAGTCCTGCAGTTTGCATTGCTTTGGTTCACACCCGTTTTTCAAGCCCGATTCTTCAGGTTGCGTGGGTTCCGTGAGACACTTAGCAGCTCTGCAGTCAACTCCCTCTCTGCTTCAGTTAGCAGGGTCTCTTTCTGCTGCTCGTTCTGCGTGTCCGTGTGTAAGTGCGTGTATGCATACACACACACACACGACACAGAGGGGTGTTCTGGCACCAATGAGTGTTCTCTGCCAGGGCACTCTTTCCAAAACAATGATTTGTTTGTAATCTCCTGTTTCAAGAGTCACTGATTCAGCTCAGGACGAAGCCCGCGTGGTTTAGCAGGACACCCCAGAACCTGTTTATCTTTCTCGTTTCCCCTCTTCTGCCGAGCGCTGGTCCTGGACTCCCCCTCTCCCCAGACCGCTGCACTCCCTGTGCACTTGGCCTGCTCTGCCTTTCCCTCTCCTGGCCTCTCAGCAAGTTCCTGCTTGTCTTTCACGTTCTAGCTGAAGAACGATCTCCCCGGAACAGAGTTTGATGATTTTTCCTCTGGCATGATGTGTACTTATTTTATAGCCCGTCTTACACTCTATTGAAATTATTCACCAGTTTATCCTCCTTAGTTGGTAATAAACTTCTTGAGGACAACGTCTCATCATCCATCTATCACAATACCTAGGATACTTCCTGGCACATACAAGATGCTGATAGGTATTTGTGGACTGCCGAATGAGTGAACAAACATGACCTGATATTAAGGCTCTGATGACCAGAAGACTCATTCTAGAACCACCACAATAAAGACTGTGCAGTATTCCAGCCCTGAGTTGCCCAAAGGTGGTTTAGAAGACAAAGAGCCACCAGTGCCCTGACTGGCGTGGCTCAGTTGCTTGGGCGTCATCCTGCAAAGAGAAAGGTCACCAGTTCGATTCCCGGTCAGGGCACAGGCCTGGGTTGAGGGCCAGGTCCCCACTTAGGGGCATGTGAAAGGCAACCGTCAATGTTTCTCGCCCTCTCTTTCTCCCTTCTTCCCCCATCTCTAAAAATAAATACAATTTTTAAAAAAGACACATTAGCTATGTTGAAATCATATTTAATGCTTAAAATTTAACAGTGCACACAACATGTTTTAGCAGTAGAAGAATGAAAATGTGTGTATGGTGTTTAATAAAATGGACATTACAAAAGAAGACCATGTTAAGAAAACCTTAAAAGTAGAAGTAAACATTTAGGTAGAAACCAAATTAGACGACATGCTAAGGGACACGATGTAAAAATCCTAACAATGTAGTTGCCTAAATCCAGACTTGAGACATTGAGATTTACTTTGCCACTTAAAAAAAAAAGAAAGCAGAATGCCCTTCATTTAAAATGCGTTTTTTAAAAATGTTTGCACATTGTTTTCCTGCTGGCAACTGCAGTGTAGTCAAGTATATAAGAATACCAGCTGGATTCCCATCTGATCCTTGAAAAGTGCACCTGGTCTTCCTGTGAAGTACACGGTTCACCTCAGAAAGCAACAACAAAATTCACACAATGCATCACTTGGCTGTGTTCGACCTCCCTTGCTGCCCGGGGCCCCGAAGTGAACAAAGTTGAAAGCGACTTCAGCTCAAGAGAAATTGAAAACAAAGTCTACAGCACCGCGTGGTTTCTAAGCGCAGAGAGGCAGGGCAGAAGGGGAGCACGGGGAGGGGCAGACCCATGACGCGCCTGCTCTCAGCCAGTGTCCACTGACACACCCCAGCTTCAAGGGCCAGAGCGGCTGGTTCACGTGTTTGGTCGTCGTGAGAAAAAGAAAACTGACTTTCAAAATTTCCTCAAATTTTGGCAGATGCCTCCGAAATGTGAAGACCAGAGGCGATTTAGTCACACCTTAGTTACTCAGAGCTGTGTCGCACCAAGGAGGCGCGCCGTCACAGTGGGGGTCCACGGGGAGGAGGAAGGAGAACTTTTTTACCCTCCTCCCCACTCTCCCCCAGCAACCTACTAAGGTTCAAGGCGCCCTCAGAAAACAAGACCATCAAAAATGTTTTATGCAGAGAAAGCACTTTCTAGACTGAGTCTGCCCAAACGGATGCTTCCTTTAATACTTCAGAAGCGGTGCGCACCAATCCCAGGACCAGCAGGCTCCTCTGACATCCAGGGACAACCAGAGCCAACGTAGCAAGAGTTTGACATCATGCTCCAGAATGTCAAAAGACAATGACGCCTCGAGGAGCACCATGGTCAGAGCAGGGCACAAGCATCTAACCAGCACAGGAGGCATTTGCTAGCAAGTTACATTGTTAAAAAATCCAAAGTTTAACTACTGTTTTGTGAACTTGACTGAGAACGGGGATCTCCTGGGCATCTTGTTTTATTCTTAAACTTCCCCTCTTCTTACAAGTAAACCAATTCAGACCATTCCTGCCTTATGTAAAAATATTAAAATTTTATATAAACCTTACCAATGGCCTGAGAAATGCAAAGACATTCACTAAGAGATTTGTGCAAAAAATGTTTCTCTCAGAGAGCAGGATAAATTGCGAGGATAAAAACCAACCTCCCGATTAAAATTTTAGAAGGGATTTGTTTCCGTTTTCACTACATGAACAAGGGAGGTTTTATCTAAAATGTGCATACCGCTTTAAAATATATTTAACAAGTTTAAATTCTACACAAATACTGACGGTTGGTATTATAAAATGTGAACTGGTACATTTGTGGAATTTTAGGACTTACTATGTAAGTTTGTATTACACATTAAGACAATTTCATTGCACATTTTTTTTAACTGTACATTTCAGATACAGTTATGCTTACTGCACATCCTGTATTTAAAACATCAGTCCCCTTGGTTATTCTCACAATTTTCAACCCTCTGAGTTGTACCAAAATCAAAAATCATCAGATTCGATCGTGATAAATGAGGAAATACAACTCCCGAAGGGTTGAATGGATAAGCCAAATATAAATGTTTAACAAAACATTCACAAGTATTATATAGGTTATATAATTAATTACAAATTGGCAGCATGACTCAACTTCGCCATTGCTGCCAGTCACTTTCGGACAAGTAAAAAAAAAAGAGAAAACTATGTATGAATAGGGCCTACAGGGTCTGCGTGTCTTCTGCAGTTCTGGTGTTTCTGGGTTACTCAGACTCGGGTCACACTGCACTGCAGACAGGACTGAGAATGTGCCACGTCTGAGATGCCGTCGCTGGAAACAGGCCCCACGCGGGAGCGCTGGGTGTCCGGTCTCTTCTCCGGGGTCAGTTCCCCGTCAGTTAGCGGACGACGGAGGGGTGTCTGTCTTCCCCGCGGCTTCCTCGCCGAAGAGCAGCTTTCGGAGTATGTTGGCATAAAATGGTCCGTACACTTGTTTGTTGAGATTCACGATGTTTGCATACTGACAACCCAGCACCTCCAGCTCCTGCTGAATGACAGCCAGGCCTCCCGGCATGGGAGGCAAGCACTTTTTAGGGCTTGGAAGACTAAGCAGGCTCTTCAGGTACAGCTGGATTCGTTTATCTGGGGGAGAGAATGTGATATCTTTATCTGTCCCATTATTAAAGCACAGAATTGAAAAACGTAAGAACAGTAAACATTCCTGATTCTTAACCATCCCTGTTTCCGTGTCCTTTACAAGGCAGCTCTGCAGCTCTTCCCACCAAAGGCTGGAGTTTGTTTCCCCTGTCTGAACAGGGGCCGGCCTTACGACGCCCTCTGGCCAATACAGAACGCGGCAGGAGTGCCGGTCTGTTAGTGCCGTGCAGAGGCCTCTGCCCTCCCCACCTGCCGCGGGAACAAGCCTGGCCTGGATGAGAGACCACATGGAGGGACACCCCATTCTTCTCTCTGAGGCCATCCTGGACCAGCCTGGAGAGCCAGCCGACTCCCAGACACTTGAGGGGGCCCGGCCAAGATCAGCAGGGCTACCTCCCCAGCCCCAGCTGGCCACAAATGCACGTAGGAGTCCAGCAATCCGAAACAACTCCCCAGCTGCCCCACAAGCTTGTGAGAAATACTAAATGTTTCCTGGTTTTTAAGCTATGGAGTCTGAGGGGACTTATTATGCAGCAAAGAACTACCTGATAAAAAATGTAGAGCACTTCTGTGGGGAGGACAGGGAATCTTTTACAAAAACTCGACATTTAATGCCCACAGTTTTAGTCATGTACACGAAAGCTGAGTTTGTAAACTGGCACTGCTAGTTTGGTCCGTACGGTGTTGTTTGGTTTTTTAAATAAAACCACTTAAAATCAGGAGATTTCATATAGAAATCCAAGTTCTGGTTCCTCTTGAAAAATCTGCAGATCTGGCAAACTTGGGGGCCCAAATCACCACACAGCAAGGGTGATGAGGCGTGCAGGTTTTCCTGGGACAGGTAACGTTAACACCTGTTGTGTGGGCATCGTTAAAAAGAGCACTCTCGAAAGTGGCCTCGGTCGGACAACCACATTCACGTTCACCCCACACACGGCCAACGACGGGAAGCGCGGGGCGAGTGCTGCCCTGACCGGACTCCCAGCTCGCCCTCTCCTCCGCCCTCTCCGCGCCACCGCTTCCACGAGGCTGCGTCTGAGGCAGCTCCGCCAGAGCAGGCACATGCGCACACACACACACACACCAGGCTGCAGAGGCATGGAAAACAGTGCTGGGCAAACTGGACCTGCCACAGCTCATGCTGTTCCAAGGACTTTTCTTTGGCCTTGGACGCAGAAACCTCACAAGAAAGAAGGTGGACTAAGGAGGACAGACTCCATCAAACTCAAGACAACTGACACTGATGAAACCCTTATCACCAAATACTTCTCCCAAGAGTCATACCTTTCAGCCAGATCTGACCTAGGACTCCAAGTCCCAACAGCCCACATCCATGGCTTAGCTGAAATTGCTTTCTTGCACTAGAAGGTTCTTCCATCTCACCTCGTCTCTGCCACAGGTCAAAAGCATCCTTCAGCGCCAAGCCTACAGCCACCTCCTGCCACAGCGTTCCCTGACACCCGTCTGACTATCGCACCGTATTACTGTTACTTGGGAGTGTATCTCTCTCCTTGCTCCGGTGAGCTCTCTGCGGGTGAGGCTGCTCTTTCTCATCTTTGTATCTGTGATCCAGCACGAGGCTGGCACATGACACATGCGGACTGAACTGAAGTGAGCATGGAATGGAAAAGGTATATGAGGACCCATGCCAAACTGAAAACGATGGGAGCCAGGGAGGCACAGATAACTCAGGCCTCATCTGTCATTTGTCAACGAGAAGAAATCACTCGTGCATGTATCACCCGCACAGCTGAAAATTCCTTTTTAAACATGCAGGTTGCTCTAAGCATGCCAATAATCTACACAAGAAGTAATCCTAGAAACAGTATTTACCTGGTTTCGGTATGCATTTGAAAAAAAGTGGCTTGAAAGGAAACTTTTCTAATTATCTCTTTAAAAGCCTGAGAACACAGCGGGAGGTGTAACCACACTGTGAAGAGAGAGCACACCCAGTAGGAATGGAAGAGGACCGGGCAGTGGGCACCGAGCACGGGGGAGGAAAGCCCTGGCTGACGCCAGTCAAGTCCGTTCTATGTCCTCTGAGCGCTTGGTTTACTCCCCGCCCCCACCCGTGAGCAGGAAAGGAAGGATCGCCTGTGCACCAGCTTTCCTTTCCCGGTAGGCTGGTCGCCTGCCCGTCCAGTGCCAGGTCTACTGTTATCACAGATATGGTCCCAAAAAACTTTCCAGCGAGACTGGGTGAAGGATAAAGCTCTTTCTGAACTACTATTATGTCGAAAAGTGGTTTTGTCTCCTCTGCGGACAAGCCAGTTTTTAGGCCAAGACTGAAACGACAGCAGCGTTTGTCCAGTGGGGAGCAGCCAAACCGAGTCCTTGCCAAAGGCGTGCCCTTGGCTTCCCGAGGTGGAGAGCAGCTCAAGTGAGTCAGTAACGTTGCTAGGCAACAACAGTTTGAGGTTAAAAAAAAAAAGCTTAAATTTTCAAAATAAGAGGAGAGTTGGACTGGGGAGAGAGGGCTGGAAGAAAGCTGTCTTAGCGGGTTCTAAGAGGCCCCCTCAGGGCAGGGGCAGCCCCTGGCCCCCAGTCGCCCTCTTCGTGCGGCATGGCAATGCTTCCCCCGTCTAAAGGAAGGCACAGAGGACACCTGGGTGCTCCGGCCACGCTGCCAGCAAGCACTAGGGCTCCAGCTGTGATGAGAGCAGTTAAGACTCTGAGCTCCAGAGCCAGGCAGGCTCAGTAAGGCTCCCTACTCTGCAACCAGCTAGTTATGTGACCTTGAGGGAAAGTCACTTAACCACTCTAAGTCCCTGCTGCATTCACCCCTTCCACAAATCTTTACTAAAGGTCATCTGTGGGCCCAGCGCGGTACAAGGCTACAGCAGTGAACGAACAGGCACCCCGTCCTCGTGACGCCTGCACACCAGCGGGGCACTAGCGGTATGTGGCAGAGACTGCAGACAGCCTGCCCGTCTAGCTCGGAGGGCTAGATCTCCCTCCCAGCTCTTAGCTCTTCTGCTGCGGCCTATGGGCTGTGAGGACAGGCTTGTCACCTGTGAAAGTCATGCAGCGGAGGGCTCAGCCACAGGCGGCTATGGTTATGCAGTGCGTGTGACTGTCATCAACGGCCACCGCTCAGCAGCCTGCAGGGCTGCACACCTGCCCGCACTTTCCCAGGGGAGGGGTTGAGGCCTTGGGCTTGCAAGTGGCTGGTGTGGCCTAGACCTCCAGCATTCTGTGTGCCGGGGGGTAAGGATGAGAGAAACTATCTGAGAGCCTCAAAGAAAGAGGAACAAGTATTTGCACTCTTAGGCGCGTCAACGTGGTACTTCAAAAATCTGCAGATCAGTCCCGGAATGTTAGTATACTCTAAGTCTACCCTCCTTTCTTCTTTCCAGCCTTTACTGCCCACTCTGTACAGGAGACACTTGCTTGGTGCCCCACTTCACCCGCTCCCTCTTCGTGTGACCACAGCACCTGATGTTGTTCAGGGGAAACCACCTGTCCCATCCCTCAGGCCAGGAGTTACAGGTAAAGCTGACTCACCCTGGCTCCAGGAACTGAACGAACACATGTCTCGGAGCCCAAGTCCCTTCCTCTCTGGCCACCAAGACTGATTCAAAAACGGGACACAACCTACCATCAGGCCAACCAGAGCCATGACCTAACAGCAGAGCCGACTCCTAGTTTGAAGCATGGGGAGGACACAGGCTTGAGCGGAAGCTGTGTCACTGTCTGTGAGCCGGCCAGCCCCGAGGAAGGCAGTGCTGAGGGCTGGCAGTGGGGACACTAGGGCAGGGGCACAGCCTGGGCTCTGGTTAAGCCCCACCTGCAACCAGCCCTACCTCTGGTCTCTTCAGCTACGTGTGCAAATACATTCTCTTTTTGCTTGAACGGGTTTAGATTCCCGGTCACAGGCAACAGAAAATGTCCTAACTGACACACTCTCCATTTCCCCCACTTACCAACACGGCTCGACACCCAGATACTCCTCACTCGCTTTCTCAGCAAGTGAGCACAAAGAGAAGCCCACCCACTGCATGCCCCAGTTCCACGGCCCTTTCACTCCTTGTCTCCTCGAGTCTGGCCAAGAAAGGGGCTCTGCCGGCCGAGGCTAGCTCACAGCAGAGCTGGCGTCTCCTCTCTGTGAACACACTGTCAGCTGGTCTGCCCTGTTGCATTGTATCTAGGGTTTCAACATTGCGGGTGGCATTTTGTTATCCTCTCCATAAAACTCTACTGGCTGCATAATAAAACAGAAGGCCTCGACACCCTCTCCCTGCGCTACATACGCACACACAGAAGCAGCAGCAAGTCCCCAACCTTTTACACTATTACTCTTTTGTTCCTACTTTCGATGTTTATGCTCTGAAAGAAGCGGGTAAAATGTTTAAGACTAAATTTTGACTGACACTGAACATTAGTCAAAAACGGCAAGTCACACCAAATTGAAACTGAAGAAGAAAACAGTAAGAACACAGGGACCCACCAATCAAAGACCGGATGGGACTGTCCTCCTTTTCAACGCTTGAAAATTGACCTATAAGATTAGCTTGAACCTCGGCATTTAAGGTGGGTAAGCCTCTCTCCATCAGGGTCTTGTTAATCTCGACACAACTCTTCACACCAATGGAATTCAGGACTTCCTTCAAGTTAAAGGTCCTGTAAAACAGAGAACAAACCCCATCAGGGAAAGTTTCATTTTTTTAAATTCCTCCGTATTTTATTGAATATACCAAAAGGTCCTGTAGAACAGAAAACAAAATCCCCCCATCAGGGAGAGTTTGTTTTTCTTTTTTGATACACCAACATATTTCTCCCCATTTTTATCTACCCATTTTTTCTTATATAGACAATAATCACCTCTATTAGATGAACTTAAAAAACAGTAACTCCTCCCAATTACCAACGCTTATTTGCAGCAGATTTTCAAATCATTACAACCACTCAGCTCTGTATATAGTGTTCATATAGGAACGTACGGGCAGAAAGTTGTGGCCCCTGAAAATACTGTATTTTGCCATGTACAATGTGCACTTCTTTTGTCCAAATTTTTGAGGGAAAAATAGAGATGCACATTATACATGGGGAGTATCTGAAATACCTTGCATCTGGTCTTATGTTTTGTAATTATTTGTTACATAAAATTTCCTGTGCCATAATGTGTTCAAAAATAAATGCTAAAATTCCTTTTTAACATAAAAACAAGTATCTAAATATAAATAAATAATTGAATTTTAAAAGTTAAAATGAGAGATTTTTTTCCTGAAAGTTTGGGCCAACAACATGGGTGTGCATTATACATGGTGAAATACAGTAAGTCTGCAATCCCATTTCCATGCAGGGCTATTAGACAGGGAAAGAAAATACCTGTTCTTAAAATAAACCCTTTGGTCTGAGTGGATTCATTCACAGATTTTTTTTAGCTTGGGAGATAATGTAAAATCAATTCCTTTATCTGTGCCTGAGCAGTAAATCTTTAACACCAATCAAACCGAGAAATGAAGATACTCAGAGGTCAGTACCACAAAGGCATTACCTAAAACTCTTGACCTATCATGACCCAAGATAAGAGGCTCCTTCTCATTGCTACTTGTGAAGCAACTGATCGATAATGCAAATATAGAGAGAGTTCAGAAAGTTGTAACAGCAATGAGCAATTGGTTACTTAATAGATAAGGAAAAGGAGTTAATCAGTGCCTTTGTTGGGTCTACACAGGGCTGTCAGACTCATTTTCCCCGGGGGCCACGTCAGCCCCGCGGCTGCCTTCGAAGGGCCAGAATAATTTTAGGACTGTGCACATGCAACTACTCCTTCGCTGTTAAGGAGCTGAAATTACATGCGCCCCTTCGAAGGCCACCGTGAGGCTGACGTGGCCCCCGGGGAACCTGAGTCTGACAGCCCTGGCCTGCACTGCTGGGGGACGGCGACTGGAGGCTGCATCTCCCTGTCCGGAGGGGGCCTGTAAGACAACTCCGTGCAAGGTGGGGATCGAGGGGTGAGAGGCCCAGTGACAGGAGACGTAACGTGGCGATTACGGTGCGAGCTGTGGTGCCACGCAGACCTGGGTTCAAGTGCTGACGCTAGCACTAAACCTGCTACTTGACCATGTTAGCTCTCAGCAGATTGTCAGGCACGTGGTAAACAATAATAAGAAGAAGAAGAAGAAGAAGAAAATAAGAAGGCTTTATGGTTATTATCATCATTAACAACAAGAAGTAAGTCCTAGGTATTCTGCCTTGACTGGAATTTGTTATACATCTACACTGGATCTGCCTTTGGGGTTCTACAACCCAAAGTTAGTTTATGGCAAAATTTTTTTAAAGATTTTATTTATTTATTTTTAGAGAGGGAAGGGAGGGAGAAAGAGAGAGAGAGAGAGAAACATCAATGTGCGGTTGCTGGGGGCCATGGCCTGCAACCTAGGCATGCGCCCTGACTGGGAATCGAACCTGCGATGCCTGGTTTGCAGCCTGCGCTCAATCCACTGAGCTATGCCAGCCAGGGCATTTATGGCAAAATTTCTACCTTCTGAATCTTACCCAACTTCCTCCTGCTTTTAAGCATGAGTTTGTAGCTAAAGGAAAAATTAATTTCAGCATAAGCCATGACCTTCCTGATTCATAAGAAAGAAGGCACAATTCTTGCTAGTTTTCAAAATGCATCATTAAACCAAATATAAATGACATCTGGGTCATCTGTTTGCTTTTTTTCCCTCCCCCCACCACCTGTGTCCCAGTGCCTGAGGACAGAACCCGTGGACTGGAAACCGTCTCTTAACACAGGTTTCGGGGCCTGGGGCAGGGGATTAAACAAAATAATTTTAAAAACCAGACAGAACAACTACAAACAGAACCACTTAACCACCACAGAATTACGAAAAGCTCACATTTATCAAGCACTTGCTATGTGCCAGAGTGTAGGGGTGTTTCACGTGACTCTCCCTGAGTTCTCACAATGCCGAGACAGGCACAAATATTATTCCTTTTTTGCAAGTGGGGAAGTGAGGCTCAGGGTGATTCGGGAACTTGTTCAAGGGTACGTACGTATGTATGTACATCGACAGCAGAACTGGGATTTAAAAATCTAGATTTAGATCCAAACACCTGTCTTCTTAGTAGCCACTCTGTTATATGTTTTATATTATCAATATTTAAGCAGCTCTAGGGGTTCGCTAAAGGTTTAAAAAACTTCTGGAAAGTAATGATTATCCAGTGTGGGGAAAAGGCTAAGGTAATAACACTGCAGAAACAGAGGTTTCTTTTCATCCCACGTCTTGAGTCCCGAGTGTGACATCCATGAGCCTGGCTGGTTAGCGTGAGAATCAGCAGAAAGGAAATATCAAAGGGGGGGCGGGGGGCTCTGTGAAGCACAGGACTGTCCAACCACTACGCCGTGCACCTGAAACCACCGCAACTCATACTGAAAGTAAACTCTACTTGAAGAATTAAAACTCAAAAAGATAAAAATAACAATGTATTTTAACCTTCATAATCACTTGAAGATTGGCTTTGTTCAGAGATTATTCTCACAGAGTGTGACTACGCCAATGATTCTCAAGTACCTTTCATAATAGTTTTATAACATTAAAAATATTCAGAACGATTTAAAAAAAAAAAGCATCAGGGGAAAAGGCAGGGCCTTGACACAGGGGGGCCAGGGCTCGGGCCTCGGTGTGCCCCTCCCTTGCTGTGCCGCCGAAGGCAAACCCTTGGGCTTTGGTTCAAAATGAGAACATTGGATGTTGTCACCCCTTGGGCTCCCTTTGGCTCTTAATATCCTAGGATTTCACAGAGCAATCTGTGTGCTCTCTGAGCAGGGCACAGGAGTGTGAGAAAACAGGCGCATCGCCCTTCAATGAGAGGAGCAGACAGAGTCCCGTCCCTGAGAACACCTCAAAGGGGAACGGACCAGCAGGAGGCGCTTTACCCATTTCAGACCCACGGAAGCATGCAGTCTTTGACTAAGATTTGGAATTTTCTGACTTGGACAGGATTCCCTACAGGATGACCTAGATGCAGAATCTCAATGGGATCCCAGTATTCAGTGAGGGTGTGATACCGAGAAGTGGATTTCACAAAAACAAAACGCTCAATGAACGTGTGGCACGTCTCAAAGGACAGACAGAGGCCACCACTTCTGACGACTCCACGGCACGCTGGACCAGTCAAGCCGGCAAACATTTCATTACAGAAGAGTGATGGTGTCAGAACTAGGTAACGTGGAAAGTCTCTCTGATAGGGCGTTCTAAACACTGCGCTTGCCGGGCTTCTGGGTCTTGTTTGTTTTTTTCCACAGCATTGTCAAAGGAGCGTTTTTGTGCACACCCATCCCCAGTGGAAATCCGACACTCACCCTGGCACTTGTCATGGAAAAGACCTCTCCCTGCCTATGAAAGGACACCTAAGCCTTCGGAGATATTAAAAGAAATTCTAGAAAAAGGAGGTCTGAGATAAACCTCTCTGAAGCACCGTTCTGAATGGCACATCCCCCACACATCCAAGGTTATTCACATTCTCTGCGATGCACGCGGAGCCTGAACCGGAGAGGGGGCACACGAAATCACCTGGCACTTACTTCTCGCACATGCCTTCCAGCAGGACAGCCGAAATCCTCTTTAACCTGCCCGCCAGCTCAGGGAGGCCTTCGGTGACGGCGCCCACCGTGTTGCTGGTAATGAGGGACAGGCAGGCAATAATTTTCAATTGATTCAGCTTTTCCGTCAGTTCCTGGAGACGCGCTTCTTCTGTCATCAGTGTCTAGCGTGTTTATTCAAAGGGGAAAAATAGAAAGGGAAGCTCAATACCGTGAAAATGTAAAATAAGCCGTATTCCATCCAACCTCCCACTTTCATCGGGTTTTAGTCAAGTCAGTAAACCACAGGCAACACAGACTGACTGGCTGATTCATAGTCAGGATTTAAGGATGAACATAACGGGAAACTTGAAGGGGAAAAAAAAAAATCACTCACCTCTGGAAATACTTTTTTCTGATGATCCCACTGCAACAGTTTCAAATAACTGTTGTTTAGCACCAGCGTGGGGCTCAGGCTTGGCTTGGAGCTGCTGTCGGACCCGGGAGTTAAAGTGATCTCAGAAAGAGAGAGTAATTCTTCATTTATGGATTCTTCAATCCATTGGGTAGTTTTATCGAGAGCACCTACAAGCGAAAAGGCCACAAGTTTGTCCTACAGCTGATGGGTCCCTGCAGTTGTGCATCCTTCGTGACAGATGATGTTGGGTGCTGGGCGCGCATGGAAAAGCAGCTGTGGCCCGCAAGGAGCTTGCGGTCCAGATGGGCCGACAGACCTGGACACTAGCGATCACAGCAGCACACGAAGAAAACTAGAAGGCACAGGGCTGGAGGGAGCAGAGGATGACCAGAGCAGAGTCTAAGGGAAGGAGCTGTGACACTTGAAGATACAAGGCAGACAGAAGAAAGGGCTGTCACCCCAGGCTAGGAGACCAGCCCATACAAAGACCCAAAGAGTGAGCACATATGGCACATTCTGGATGCTACAAGCAACTCCGTATCGCTGGTGCATAAAGAACCAGGGGGAAGAGGGTGGTAGCAGGTGGCGCTGGATGAGTAGACAGGCCAGCTCACACACGCACTTGAGTTTTGTGTGGAGAAGGTATTTAGCACAGACAAATTGATCAGTACACAGTTTTGGGCACGGGGCCCTTCTGAGTGTCTGATTAGAGCCATGTCTTTCCCACAATGCGTGTGCATGCCGGTGTGCACACTTTATTACTTTAGACCCAGCACTGAGGTTGCCTGTTAGAAACGAGTTGCTTTTAATACTACATTTCTTACAAAATTATGTATTTGGTAGAATTTATAAGGTAGCAATTGCTAAAAATAAAGGCAGACTGAAAAACAGGTGCAGATTTTTTTAAATGAAGAACGAAAGAAAGAACAGTCACCCTGAAATTCTTCCTCAGACCCAGCACGCACACAGGGGTAATTTACAAGTAGCTGTTTGCCACACCAAAAAGACACCACCCCTAGAATTTCACAATTTTGTTTCTCCTCAGCTGGCAAATGTTGTTCTTGGTTTTTCTAGTTCTGCTCAGAAAAATGTAAAAGGCTTGCAGTCTTTTATTTAAAAGATATGCAACAGAGAGCAGAAACCATCATGAATGAAATTACAGTGTGGCGATATGAGCATTTACACTGCGAGTGTAACCATTTGCAGCCCACACATTTAAAAAGCCATTTAGTTATTTCAAACAAAAGCAAGAATGTAGCATAGTGGTTCTCAATCCCGGCTGATTTTAGAATCATTTGGGGAGCTTTAAAAAGGGGAAAAAAAAAAAAAAGATCCTGGGCACAGTTCCTGGAGACTCTGATTTCATCAGTCTGTGAGGGCGCTTGGGCATCACTATTCCAATGCCCCAGGTGATCCTAATATGCACCCAGAATTGAGTACAACTGGTAAAGCAAAAAGAGCATGAGTTTAGAGAGAAACATCAGGTTTTCTCTGAAGGATCTGCTGAGATTTATTTCATAAGCCAGTACATGGAATGCTCTATATGGCTCTAAAGGCAAGGTCAACTCCACGAGGCACTTGCACCATAGGTCTTTCCCGGGGACAGTTATAAGAGGCCTCTGTATTCACTCATTTATTCAATGGCAACTGAGCACCTACTCCACACCAGGTACTGCACCAAGTGCTGGGAATCACAGGAGAGTAAATACAGTCCCTGCACTGGAGAAGTTCCTAGTCTACTTGGAGAGAGAAACACAAGAACAGGTGGTGACTTTACAGGCCTGTTTACCTGAGACTTTCCCAGGAGCAGCGGAGGCCCAAGAGCACCCAGCCGGACTTTACTCCACACCAGTACTGGCTCCTGATTTCCTGCCGGGGAGGCTTGGCCTAACCAGCCGCCCTCCCCCCAACTCTCTCTGACTTTCTAAATCCAACTCCTGCCGGTCGGTAGTGGCCCAGCCCCACTCCCTCTTCCTTCCAGCCTTTCTGGTTTATATGGATCCACCCTTATCTCCCCACCTTTGAATTTTTTACCTGGCTGTCATTTCTCTTAAACAGGTGAACTGAACAACTCTATTTTTTTTAAATTGTCATTAAACGTTTCACGGGCCTTCATCTCACTGTCATCTCACTAGTGAGGTTACCGAGGGTCCCAACTATGGCCTTTGTTTCTCTTTCCTTTGACTGAGCTCACAGCATAACTGGGTAAGTGCGTGAAATGTTCGGCCTGGATTTCCGAAGCCAATGGGTCTGCTGAGACAATCAGACAGTTTCCTGGTGGTATTTGTCACACAGTAGGGGCTTATCAAAAAGCCTCTGCTCTCCCACCCTGGCTGGGTGTCATGCCAAAAAAAGAAGCATTGCCAGTGTAACTCCCGGTCAGGGCCCATGCCTGGGTCGTCGGTTTGGTCCCTGGATGGGGCACGCAGCAACCGGTCCAGTCCATGTTTCTCTCCCTTTCTTTCTCCCTCCCTTCTCCTCTAACAATAAATAAATAAAAGCTTAAAAAAAAAATAAAAAAGCCTTTGCTCTCTGTTTGGCATGAAAGATCTGGCAGGTCCCCATCTCCGGAGGCAACAATGAGTTTAAGGATTGGCTCAAATAGTCTCCCTCATGATCTGGTCCTATGTGCCTGCATTTATCTTACTTTTTCCACTGTCATCCAGTAGAATGTTTACTATTGTACACACTGTACGCAAATCAAACTAAAAGACACAGGTTCCCTCTTGCTTTCTGCAAACTCTTGCAGAAAGCAAGAGGGAACACTTCCCAAAATCATTTTATGATGCCAGCTTTGCCCTGATACCAAAATCAGGCACAGGCATTAATTATAAGGGAAAAAAACTACAGAGTAACATCTTTCATAAATACAGATGTAAAGGTCCTTACGTCCTGGCCAGGTGGCTCAGTAGGCTGGAGCACTGTCCTGTATGCCAAAAGGTGACTGGTTTGGTTCCCAGTCGGGGCGTGTATGGGAGGCAACTGACAACCGATCGATGTTTCTCTCTCACAATAATGTTTCTCTCTCTCCTCTCTCCCACCCCACTTCCCTCCCTTCTTATTCTCTCTAAAATTAAAAAAAAAACATATTCTCGAGTGAGGAGTTTTAAAAAAATCATTAAGAAAGCATTATCAGGGCGATAAAATAAAAATAATACACCAGGGCCAACTGGTGGGAGAAACATCTAAAGACTGCAAGGTTGGTTTAACATTAGAAAAAAATGAATCATTGTAATTCACTACGTTAATACAAAAAAAGGAAAAAAAAAAAAAAAGACCACTTCAGCATATGCCGAAAGAGCACGTGACCAAATGTAACATGTGACCTACTTAAAGAAAATCTCTTAGTCAATCAGGACTAGACGAAAACGTCTTCAACCCAGAAAAAGGACATCAATGAGGAGCAGCAGTTAACATAATACTTAGTGATCAAAGAATGAACATCCTTCCCCCAAAAGGGCAATGATGCCCTCTCTTATGACTTCTATTCGACATTGTGACTGGAGGTCCTAGTTAGTGCAATAAGACAAGAAAAATAAATAAAAGGCATGTAAAGTAAAAAAAGAAAGATTATCTTTTGTTCACAGACATGACTGTATATATAGAAAAGCCTGAGAAATATTTCAGAAAGCTACTAGAATTTATAAGTTAATTTAGCAAGATTTCAGGATGCAAAATTAATATTTAAAAGTCAATTATATTCCTATATACTAGAAAATAGCTTTATAAAATATCCAGATCAATCAAGTTACTGATTTGAAAGTTACTGAAAATGAAAAATGTGTCTTTTATTTTACAGAAAAAACTAAACAGACTTTTTGGCCAACCCAATAATAACCCGTCAGAGAAAAATTTCCATAAATAGCCCTGTAATGTGTCAAGTATGGTAGGTATTATGCATACAGTTTTAAAATGTGCTAGTTATGTGATTACTTCTAGAAAACATCCAAAAAAGTCTTTGGAACCTTAAGATATGCAAAGATTTTGTAGACAGTTTACTAAATACACAAACCATAAAGGAAAAATTCGATAATTTGGACTTCATCAAAATTAAAAACTCTTCTGCAAAGGACAGTGCTAAGAAAACAAAAAAAGGCAAACTGCAGAGGGGTAGACACTGTCACAACACGTGAATCTGATGAAGGATTTGTTTCCAGAATGTATAAAGAGCTCTTCAATTTGATAGTAAGACGACTTCTAATATGGGACCCTAAGCATAAAACGTGCCCCCCACCCACACAGGCAGCGAGTCTGCACCCTGAACTGGAGGAATGGCCAGGCAACATCCACACAAACCAGGAGAATGGTGCCAAACTCCGGGCACCAGGAGTGGGGGCCTCTGATGCCGAGCAAGCTTTCAGAGGCCCCCCATCTCCAACATTCTGGAAGTACCCCAAGCGCCCCACTTTCCAGTCAGAAGAATGCAGTTCCTGTATCCAAGACACTTGCTCGTTCACACCTAGCAACCCCTGCCTCCCCTTCTTCTGGGTGCTGGTTTTCCCTGAGAAGTCATCTTCCCTTGCTCCACGCTTTCTTCCGTGAACATCAATTAAGAGGCCCCTGACCAGGGCTTGGCCTACCCCGCATGCCTGCCAGACTCTTCCCTGAACTCGGAAAGGCGAGGACAGCAGGCAAGGATATGAAGCACCCTGACTACAGACGCCAGGAGCTTTCCCTTGTTTTGTTTGTTATTGTTTTCAGTCCAGGCTCCCGACACTCTCCTGGCTCCGGGCCTCGTTCGGAGTGGGTATTCCAGCTCTTCTGTAGTGCAGCTTCAGCCTCCATCCCGCCACTCACTTCCTTTTTTGCTAAGTTAGCCCGAGTCGGTTTCCGCTGGTTTCAGTACAACCCAGCTGACCTAACCCAAAGCTGAAAATTCAGAGAATACTGCCCCGGCAGCGGCTTGGTCTCATCTCGGCTCGGCGAGGGGAGGCCTGGCTCCGAGCCCTAGCCCCGCTCCTCATCGGCGGCGGAGTGGCTCTGTCTTCGGGCGGGTCACGGCGGAGCACCAGGCTGCTCACCTTCAAAATGCTCCACAGGGACACCCTGAATGCCATGCGCGCCAGGCAAAGACAATCATAACGCTGCGTGATGTACTTTTTTAAAAAATACCTGTCTCATAGGATTTTTGAAAGAATTACATAACATTCCTGAGAACATTTTATCAAATGTGAAACAAATAAATAAACCCTTCTTCTCTCTGAGTTTATTAAAAATTACTTGTGGTATGGCTCCCTCAGGGGTAATTTGTTACTTTTTCCACAGGTAATGTAGTTTTGGGACCTCGTGTGGTGACCTTTTTGATGCTTCATACATGTACCCAGTCACTCATTGCCAAAGGCTTTCTTAGGTGTATTTTTATCCTATCCCATTTCTTTTATGTTAAATATCTTTACTTAAGTATAATTGACATATAACAAACTGTACATACTTAAAGCATACAATTTGAGAAGTTTTGATACATGTGTACAAACATGCAGCCATCACCACGGGGAAGACGAGGAACATACGCATCACCCCCAAAGACTCCTACTGCGCTGTGTAGCCATCCCCACTTCTCTCTCTCCCCCCCCTCACCATCCCCAGCACACGGATCTGCCTTCTGTCACTGGGGAGCAGCTTGCTCTGTCTACGGTTTTATAAAAATGAAATCATACAGCGTGAACTTTTGTCTTACATCACCATGATCAGACAGTTACATAACCTATGAAGGGACCACCCCGGTAAGTGGAGTACCCATGTAACCCCATACATACAGGGTCGCGCAAAAGTCGGTTTACAATTGTGCGTACGTGAAACACCGAGTTTTATTCTTGTATCACTGCTTAGTAGTTACTATATTATTTCCCATATGAACACCTGCCTGCTTTTGCCTCACCCTGTAGTTATTACAACATTATTGACTATATTCTCTGTGCTACGCTTTACATGCCCAGGACTATTTTGTAACCACCAGTCTGTGCCTCTCAATCCCTTCCCTTTTTACGCCCATCCCCCCGATGCCCCTCCCATGTGGCAACCATCAAAATGTTCTCTGTGTCTACGAGTTTGTTTTGTTTGTTCCTTTATTTTTGTAGTTTTTACTTTAGATTCCACATATACATGAAATCTCTTGGGTGTATTCTATTTATTTATTTTTTTTGTCCTCACCCAAGGATATTTTTCCATTGCTTTGTTAGAGAGAGAAAAAGAAAGGGAGAGGGAGGGGCAGGGAGAGAACCAGCAGTGAGAGAGAGAGAAACATCGATGGGCTGCCTCCTCATGCATACCCGACCGGGGATTGAGCCTGCAACCTGGGGATGGGCCCTGACCAGGAATCGAACCCATGACCTTTCCATCTATGGGATGATGCTCCAATCAACTGAGCCACACCAGCCAGGGTTCTTGGGTGTATTTTAAATAAGGCAGATGCACATATAAAATTGGTCAGAAAAGTAAAATCTTGGGGTCAATTCAGAAACTCAGAGTACATCTCTGTATTAGTTTTCCAATACTTATTTTACAAAAATCATCCATATACAAATTCCAATTGTCTTTCTGTGTGATGCTGTGAGGCTCTTATTTTGACACTGGGGCTCCGTGGCCGACTTTTGGCAGTCACTTAAGGATATAATTAACAAGTGACATACACTCTGCGTCGGGACTTGACTTCTCTGGGGACATATTTGGAGCTGGGCAGTGATGCCCTACATGCACAGCTGGATTTTTTCTATTCTTAAATCTCCGGAAATATCCGAGTCGATGTGAAAGGTGCAAATGAACCACAAGTCACTAAGTCTAGGTTTTAAGGGGAGAAACAAATCATCCGAGACAAACAAAACTGTCATTCAATCCTATACTAGGAATTTGCTCAAGAGTCCAGGCTATCTTTATTCAAAACACAGAGACATTTGCACATGTGTTTACACACACACACACACACACACACACACACACAGGCACGCACATGACACCGGCCCCCAAGTCTCAGGAAAACACTGCTGAGAACAAATTTGAGTTCAGGTTTCAGATTCAGGCTCTGTGTGGGGTTCCACTTCCCTGAACCCTTCTCTCTCTCTCTGGAACTAAAACAAGGGAGCCCTGACGTCGGAGCCTCTTTGCTGCAGAAGGACCCCAAGATGGCATCCAGTCTCATGCACCCCTCCCCCCATGCCAGGGCACCCTCGGCCAACCCTCCGAAGACAGGCGCTGTCTCGCTGGAAGAGAGCGGTGTCCCGCCGCCGTGGCCGAACGCACGCGCTTTGGGGCAGAGACACGTCTGGGTTCACAGGCTTCACTACCTACCAGCAGTCACCTGGGGCTAGGGGCCTTAACTTCAACTTCCTCATTTGTGAACAGTGGGTGATAATCATACCGGCTTCACAGGGCTATTGGGAGGCTTGAATGGGCTAATAAATGGAGTGTTTCACATACAGTAAGAACTTGGCACTTACTAAGTGCTCAGATGAAATGTAGCTAGGATTGACTACTATTATGAAAGGGCAGCCCATTCCAGTGTTTAAACAACTCCAGCTGCTAGTAAGGCCAAACCCGGCTGACGGCTACTTCCCGTCCATGGGTCCTCCTCAGCCCCGCAGAGCTTAACCGAAGTCCCTGAATCACTGTCAGCAGGGTGGAGCCCATGGCCCACCTTAGACTCCCTGGGACCAAGCAGAAGCACCCAGTTTCACTGACTGTTCCTCATGTGACCCTCTGTGACCCACGCTCTTTCCTGGTCACTCTCCAGCCCGCTGGAGCCCCGGTGTGAGCGGCTCCTGTTTGGTTTGGTTTACATAATGCTATTGTATTGACTACCTTGACAGAGGTCGGTCCTCTGGAGGTGGAGTGAGGTGGGTGGGTCACCTAACTCAGCCTTAGACTGTGGTCAATCCAAGTCCAGACAATAAATAAGGTCTGTGTCCAGGGTCTGCTAACGAGAGAACCAGTTAGCCAGTCTTTCGCCAGCTGTGAAATCTCAGCTCCTCGCCTGCAAAATGAGGGTATCTACCTACCCACCCTGAGTAACTGTGCGGATTCAATGAAGCAATACCTCCCTTACCCCCACTCTTCCTTGACCCCTCCCAGGCCAGCTCTAGTGCCCAGTAGTTCATAGGCTGGGGGGTTACCATCAAGGTTGCCAAGGATCCTCATGTAGTTATATCTCGTGGCCAAGCCTTGGCTTTCATTTTTCTTGACCATTTAGCAGCACTTACCACAGCTGATAATGTCTTCCTGTTCCAAACACTTTCTTCTCATCTTACGGGACATCGCTCTCTCCTGGCTGTCTTTACCTCTGGCTACTCCCGTGGTTTCAGTTGCTGGGCCCTCCTCTTCAGCCTCAGATGCCCTGGAGTCCCAGCTCAGGCCCCTTCAGTACCTGTGCTCACTGCCTAGGCAATCTCACCCAGTGTAACACTGTAGGTAAAAGCAAGGGCCAAGGAGCCAGACCACCTGGGTGAATCCCATTCTATAACGTACAAGCTGTATTATGGAGGCAAGTGATTGAACCTCCCTGGGCCTTAGTTTCCTCATCCATAAAATGGGGAGTGATTGCCTAAAGGTACTGTAAAGAGTAAATTAGACCAAAGTGTCGCAGGTTCGATTCCCAGTCAGGGTACATGCCTGGGTTGCAGGCCATGACCCCCCAGCAACCGCACATTTATGTTTCTCTCTCTCTCTCTCCCTCCCTTCCTCTCTAAAAATAAATAAAATAAAATCTTTAAAAAAAGAGTAAATTAGTTAATACAGGTAAAGAGCTTAGAATGTGGTAAACATTTTATACATGTCATCTAGTTCCATGACTTTATCTACCACAAATATGCTGATGATCCCCGAGTGCACTGCCGTGTCTCCATTCTCCAGTGCTCCAGTCTCTTGTATCTAAAAGCCTGCCTGACATCCCCATGTTGTTGTCGAACCAGACCTCAGAGATCATTTGTCTAAAACTGAACTTGATTCCGCAGCTTCTCCCAACCTTCCTTCCCCTCATCTTCCTCACCCCACTCAGGGGCGCCACTGTTCACCTAGATGCTCAGGTGAAAGCCTTAGAGTCATCCTCGACTCCTCTTTTTCCCCCTCATCCAACTGCCAGGAAATACAGCTATTCCACTTTCAAAACACATCCAGACCATGACCTCTTCATACCGCTTCCCCCACTACCACCTGACCATCATTTCTTGCTCGAGCAACTGCCACACCACCTAACTGCTTCCCTCCTTGCTGCATATAATCTATTCTCTACCCAAGAGCCGCAGTATTCCTTCAAATGAAAATCAGATGTTGCTTCCCTGCTCAGAACTCTCCAAGGACGCCCCATCACACTTGGCATGAATCTAAATTCCTCTCATGTCCTAACGAGGCTCTATATGAACTGTCTACCCCTTGACCTCATCTCCAGCCACTCTCTCCTTGCCGACTCGACGCCAGCCACTCTTTCTGGCCTTGTGTTTGTGCAATCTCACAGACAAGTTTCTGCTTCAAGGCCTTTGTGTTTGCAGCTACTTCCAGCTGGAAAGGTCTTCCCCCACATATTCACATCCCTCTTTCCTTCTCGAACTCTGCTCGAGTGTTACTTGTGAGACAGGCCTTCTCAGTCTGCCTCACCTTAAACAAAAACAAAAACAAAACCAACACAACACTCCCCACTCTCACTCCTGCACCCCTCTTGCCTGTCCCTTTATCCAATTTTCTTCATAGCACTTAATAACACAGCTGATAACACAAGTCTGCTTGTCCACTAGAAGGTCAGCTCCTTGGGGGTCACAACTACGTTCTATTGAGTTCACTGAGTATCCACAGCACCTAAGCAGTGTCTGGGACGCAGCAGGTGCTCAGTAAATATTGTTTTTAAGCGTAAAGAAATGAATAGTGCTTGTAGGTGCACTTCAGGTGCTCAGTAAATATTGATGCTCGATAAGTATCGTTTTCAGGCATAAAGAAATGAATAGTGCTGGCACAGTTCCTAAGACACAGTAAACAGCTACAAGTTTGTGATGTCAATTTTAAAAGTTAAAAAGATAATGTTTAACAGAAAGAATGAAATTCTTCACAAATGCTTAAGATGTCGAGGTATCATATTTTCCCCTAATTTCAAAATAAATAGACAATATCTGGTACTCACTTGGAGTTTCTTCTAAAATTTCCTGGAACTTGCTTCTCTCATAGTCCACCAGCTGGCGCTGAAAATGTGGTCTGAAACTCCGAATCAGAAAATTGGCCATGTCCATACTCATGAGTTCCAGGACTTGAAATATTTGTCTACAAATGTGAGCGTTAAAATAGTTAGAGAGGTGATTAAGAAATTAATTGAAATTCACTGATGTTTACCTATTTTCCAGCTGGAAAAAAAAACTAAACATCAGCCCTGGCTGGCGTAGCTCAGTGGATTGAGCACGGGCTGCGAACCAAAGTGTCACAGGTTCGATTCCCAGTCAGGGTACATGCCTGGGTTGCAGGCCATGACCCCCAGCAACCATACATTGATGTCTCTCTCTCTCTCTCTATCTCCCTCCTTTCCCTCTCTAAAAGTAAATAAATAAAATATTTAAAAAAAAACAAACATCCCCAAAATGATTTTTAAATTCCAATCACCATTTGGCAAGGTCACCTTTCATAGGCGGTATTACACACACACCCCAAATCTATCTGTCTGTAGCTCTCAAGAGTGCTTGCTTTAGCAAACATGGTACCTCCAACTGAGCCATTACGTCCAGTTCTGAACTGATGGAAAGACACTATGAAGCATACACAATGAGTCTTGACAATGAGATGAAAAAGGTTCAATAAGAAATTTTCACTTGAGCGCCCCTGAAATGTTAAGGAGTCTGAACGTAGTGTATGTAGTTTCTTTTCCTAAGGGAATTAGAAAAAAGAAAAGGAAAGAAAAGGTGGGGCAGTGAGGCACAGGGGAAAAAACACCTCCTTTCAGAGCTGGGCAACCCACTGCTCAAACCCAGCTCTGTGGCCAGATACGAGTTACTCGATGTCCCTGAGCCTCGGTGTTCTCACCTTTGAAAGGGGAGGACAGACCAACCTTGGGGGGATGCTGTGAAGAGTGAATGAGGTAACAAATGTAAAATGTAGGCGACAGTGTCACCCAGTAGGTGCTCAATAACTGACCGAGATGAACACACAGACCTGACACCACACACATGGGTAATAAAACGACCAGAAGCAAAGATTCTGCAACTGAAGAGCTGCAACTTGCCAGAGCTGGGCTCGGCTCTAAGGATACAGAAAGCCCATTTTAAAGGTGGGGAAAAGTGACTGTGAGAGGCTGTCAACTTGCCTGAGGTCATAAAGTAAGCTGCCTGCTGCTGCATGAAGTTTCCTTTTCCTACCTCCCCAACACTGTTACATAGAACTTACATACCATTGTGGCCACATTCACACACACACACAAAGAAGAGTTCCCCTCAATGGCGAACACTGTGGCAGACCCCTCCTTCCTCCAGGGTCACAAAGCAGTTACTGTCTGCACAGCCAGGTTCGATTCTCACTTCCTCAGGCAAGCTGAGGCAGAGATGGCCAGCTGACCACCCAAGATCCACGCCCCTTTCCACTGCATGGGTCTGTGGCTGGGAAATGCATTCCCACACAGCCACCGCACTTCCCAGACCCCCCTCCCTTCACACTCTAGGCGGGACCACGGTACTAGTCAGTCAGTGGAAGGTGTCCCTTCTGGACCGAGGTGGGTAAACACGGGCTATAACTGCCCCGTGATCTCCTTCCCATGCACCAGCTGAATGTAAAGGACTCTGAGGACTTGGGCAAGACGGAGCCTGAGTCACTGAATAGCACATGGAAGGCCGCCTGACCAAGAACCCCTGGCTTGCACTGTGACATGAATGAGAGACAAATTTGTGATGGTTTGTTGGGAACTGAGAACTCGGGGTTCTGCGTTACAGCGCTGGCATTATCCTAATAAAGATGCCTGTCTGGATTCGTGACTAGGTCTCCCTGCTGGAGGCTCCACTAACCCCTCCACTTCCCCTCCCGCAGCACTTACTGCAGCTGTAACCCCTCCAGCCGTAATTCCTCGTGCAGGGTCTGTCGTCTCCCCACTGGACCGCACACTCCCTGGGGGTCAGGGACTGTCTCTGTCTTTTTCATCACTGCGTCCCTAATGCCCAGCACATGCCAAATAACAACCCTGACAGATCTTTCTATCTGAAAACTTACGTAGCAAATGAGTGACTTCACCCTTGTTTGTTTGTTTCCCCTGGGGGCAAAGGATCCCCCTGAGAGACCAGCCATTCTTGACTCTGTGTTCCTCAGTCCCCACGCTTCCCTCCTGCAGGAACTCGCAGGGACTCTAGGAAAAAACGAGCGGCGAAAGTGCTAACCTCAGCACCTCCACGATGTTGCCCGTGGCCTTCAGCTTCCTGACGTCATCGTCCCTCACGGGAGCGCACAGCTTCCCCATCGTGCTGATGATGTAGCTGGCCAGGCCCGGGATGTCGACGGCGCTGTGCTGGGCCTGCTGCCTGATGAGGTCCGTGTCCAGAACTTCGCAGATCTGGTTGCGAAGCCGGTTCCCGCCACCGGGAGTCAGGAAGGACAGGAGAATCTACACAGGAAAAGGAAGGGGAAAATGAACAGCATCATTACATGAATAAAGGCTGTCTTTTTTTTTTTTTTTTAATTTCAATGTCTAGACGACCAAGCTCCTTGTCCACATTTTAGTGCCGTGGATGCCACAGGAGAAGTCTGCACGGACTGGGTGGGTAGATCAGAGCACTCCAGCGTCTCCACCCCAAAAAGAAAGATCTAGCTTCTGAATTTAAGCCCCCCATCCCTTTCGTGGGAAATTACTGATTCTCTCGGAACAAAAGCAGAGTAAGGAAGCAACATTACTGAGGAACTTCAAACAGTCTACAGATGAACTCTGCAAAGAAAGAACAGGCTGCAGATCATGGCTCCAAAAGGACGCATCGAAGAGGAGCAGACAGAATCCCCTCCCCCCATGGGCTCCATTAGAACAGCATATCACATTTCACATGTAAAATATGTACATTACAGAAGCAACCTCTACTGAATACCCAGTACCCAGCAGACGCGGTAGTTATACACAGAGCACACGGACAGGAGCACTCTGAGTCAGAGAGACTCGGTTTCAAACCCCCTTCCACCCACTCCTCAAAGCTGTGCGACCTCAGGCAAGGCAGGGAACTTGGCCTCTTGAATATAGAACAACAGGTGTCACCACCTCACAGGATGATGGTAAGGATAAAGGGACAGTCTGATGCTTCGCACACAGCAAGTGTCTTGTCAATGTTAGCTAAAACTGTAACGGTCACCCCATTTAATCCTTACAATGTAAGTGCTCGGGGAAATAAGACTTAAAGAGGGAGAGGCCACCGCCAGACCAGGACTATCCAACTCCAGAGTCCGTGGTCTTAACCACCACACCTCGGAGCGCGGCAGCACCCCCGTGCGTTCCCTCCACTGCCCCACTTCCCCTCCCCCGCCCCACTCTAGGAGGTGCAGGGAAAACCCCTCCCAGGGACTGAACGTGCTCAGTTTTTCCAAAAGAGTCTCTGGCGCTCTTTGGAGGACATGAAAAGAGTCTGGGGGGAAACAATGATTAATTAATACAGACAAGGTCAACTTGCCTCTCTGATTTCTTCAAACAGTTTGATGGCGTGGTCGTACTCGGGAGGCTCAGCGTTCAGTTCAGATTCCAGGACATCCCAGTAGGCCTGGTGGACAATGCTCTTCACTCGGCTGGCCAAGCTGTGGGAACGACATAGATTGTCCTTTTAATGCTATGGGAACGATACAGATTGTTCTTTCAAGTGGGCATTGTTTTCCCTGTTTACAAGAGAGATATATGTTCATAGTAGAAATCTTAAAAAAACAGAACGAAATTGCCCATAATTCCATTATTTCCATTTTTAATGTATAGTTTTAACATAGAGTACCCAGTAAGTACAACATTATCTCGCTTGCTTGTTTCACTTAGGATTGTCATGTTTCCCCAGCCTTCCTTTCATAAGTACATGCAATCCTGTCCTAAGGAGATATTGTAATTCACCTAGCTACTCTCTCACACAGATTCTTAGACTCATTCTAGATTTTTGGGATGTGGTGACAAAGTTGCTCTTTCCTCAACAGCTGAAGTTTTGTGGCACAGAACAGACTGGCCCCAAGGAGACATGCATTTGAAGGCCTGCCAATTTCAGCTTCGATGTCCCATTTAAAGTTAGCCAGAGCAAACTGCTGAAATAGGAGCTTCCTAGGAAGAGCTCACAATAGCATAGAGGGTCATCTTGCTTCACCCCTTATGTCAAAGCCCTAAAATAGGTGCACACTAAAATACACATCCCTACTGAACTGCTCCACCGCTCTGCAACAGCTCCGAGAACAGCACATGCTTCCCTGCCCTAGAACTACTTACCAGGCTCCGCCCTCCCACAGGGTGCGCACCTCTCCCAGGGAGAGGCCACAGCTTCCCCTAGATACCTGGTGTATACTCAGTGTTCGATAAATGCACAGTGAGTGAATTAGCAATTTGACAGGATAGTGTGGCATAGCTCCTAATTCTCTCTTTAAACTGCAAATAGCTAAATATATAATAATGTTAGGAGAAATGAAAACGAGCTTTTTGAGGAGTGTGTTAAGACTGCTTCTGTAACTACAAATACTACCTTCCACTCAGGCACTTTAAATGTTAAAGCTTAACTCAACACGAACGCCATTTCCAATGTCTGAGATTCTTGAGCAACCACAGCACAATTACAGAGGCGAACACCACCGGGACGGACTTCAGCTGTTCACGTCACAAGCCTCAAGTACTTGGCCTCAGCGGAACCACCGGGAATGAGCTAAAACAACTTTATGGCTGCCCCCCTCAGGGACATCTGAGTTTAGTTTGTTTCCCTGAAGGCTGGAAGATGCTTTTTAGGTCTTTAATTTTCCGGGATGGGACGGGAAGGAAGGGGAGGAGGGCATGAGATCAACTAAATCATTTATAAGCATTCCTACTGGCTATCAGAAACCTGACTTATTTGACCAAGTTTTTTCCCCAAAGAAAATATTTGGTAAGATATGAGTCACCCATATTTCAAAAAGTAACAATTGGGCCATTGTGGAGAGTCATCTGAAAAAATCAACGGTTCCTGACGTGCTGTGTCATTTTTAAACACAGGCCATGTGCCTTAACTCTGCATGCTGTTCCACCCTCGCTCACATATTGTGGCTCTGGAAGAGAATGAAGGGAAGAGGACTCATATTTCCCACAGGATCAAGAAAACGCATGTGCAAGGCACTCACGTGCCCCTGAGCACGGCTCTGAAGTGAGTGCGGCAGTCCCCACCTCATTCTCGGGGAACGTAAGACTCAGACGTGGTCTCAGCAGAGTGAGGGGTCAAGCCCCAGGGTCTACCTGATCCTAAAGCACCTCTACTGCAGCATATTTTTGCAACTTTTGAATTAAAGTACAATATCCCCTAGTTGTCTTGCTGTACTTCATAAAACATGCTAGTTTTCACTTCGAACATTTTTTATTAGTCAGTCAATAAATGTTTGCTCAACATTCACTATGTGGTATGCGTTGTATTAGATGCTGGAGAGACTATAGTGAAAAGAAATCTCTGCCCTTAGAACGTGTACATGTTAGCAGGAAAAGGAAAAAAAAACATTAAAATAAGACAATTTCAGAGCTCCGAGGAAGACCAAGTCAGACAAGGTGGTAGATGGTGATGAGGAGGGTGATAATTTTGCTGAATGGCTGAAGAAAACTTCTCTGAGACAGTGATCTTTGAACTGGGGCTTAAAGGGGGAGAAGAGAGTAGCCGGTGAATATCTAGGAGAAGAGCTGGGAAAAAGAAGGAGGACAAAATCCCTGGGACACAATGCAGCTGCCCCCCGCCTCCCCGGCCTCTGAGATCATCAAGGAAGCCAGTGTGGCTGCAGACAGGCAGGCAGGAGGTCAAGGATCGAGAGACATGGCTGGGCCTTGCGGGCCACACTGAAGAGCTTGCGTTTTTATTCCAAGTGCACTAGAAAACCACTGAAGGGTTTTAAGCAGAGAAATGATCTAATCTGCTTTACCCTTTAGTAAGCCTCTACGGCTACCACGTGGATGTGAAGGAACTACGTAAGAATGGAGAGGGGCGACTACTTAGGACGGAACTAGTCCAGAGACAAGAGTGACCTGCCCCAGAGGGGCAGTGGTAGAGCTGGTCTAAAGGATCGAGATGAAACGCAGTCACCACAGAAAACCAAACAGATACACCTACTGTGGCCAGTAATCTGAAAAAAATGTTACGGATTCTTAGGAACATCCCAGGAGCAGGAGGACTATGAACCACATTTTATATTCTAAAACCTTTTATGTTTCCTATTGTCCTGCTTTAAAACGAGTAAAAAAGTTCTGAATGGAATCAAATACTACTTGTAGTCTTAAGTGACAGAGAGAATGTCGCTGGGTTTATAAATGGCGCTGTAGGGTTGAAGGTTCAGTGTCATTACCCATGAGCCAACTTTGCCTCTGAAGATCTGTAGTAACGGCCACAAGGCTTTTCCTTGTCCCAGCCACTGAAGCTGGAGAGGGTGCCATGGGACATAAGGGTGTATCTGTAACTAACGGTACCTTGGTGGTGAGATTAAATAGGGGAGTGTATGCAGCTGTGGTTTCTATTGTACATCCAGGGGTTTCTAGAATGCCTTTCCTTAGCACTCTGGCAAACCAGCTGCATGTATCTTTCACAACGTAAATACTGGTTTTCAGTAAGTCAATCTGCAAATATTGCTTGAGCATGTATTATATGTCAGGTACTCTGCCAGGTAACGGGGATAGAGCAAACAATATAGACATACAGTACTTCCTCCATTGACGGTGCTCTGGGTCAGGTAGGAAGGACAGACACCGAACATAAAACCATGGCATCTTAACAAAGGGGAGGTAGAGGGAGCTACAGGAGTTTTTAGCGAGGGGAAGTCATGTCTAATGGGCTCAGGAGTGTCAGGAAAAGCTTCCCCCAGGAAGTGACACACAGCTGAGTTTTAAAGATCATGGGAAACAGTACCCAGATGAATGGTTTTAAAAACAAGGATAAGACCATGTTTGAGAGCCAGATAAGATCTACTCCCACTCACTATTACACGAGAACTTCCAGGAGCCAGTGTGGATATGTACACACACACACACACACACACACACGTGCACACACACAGGCTGCAGTACACACGCCTCTGGGTTACCTGTTCTCAGGGAGGTCAGCGTGCTTCACCTGGAAGTTCTCATTGACGGCAATCTCATGAGCAAGAGTCAAGTTGACTAGGTTCTTCGCTGTAGCCATCACTTCGTCAAGGGTTACAACCCTGGGAGGGCTTGCTGTTGGGACAAAAGCAAAAACCAGTCAGTTAATGTGGCGGAAGAGAAGGTGTCATTCAGCGAAGTCTACTGACGCAGCTGGAGTGTAAGTTATCCCCACATGTATTTTTGGGGCTTTACAAGTAAGAGGAACATATACTGAAATAGGTGGATTCCCCTGCTTAACATTTGACTTCAAAAATGTAAGAACTCCTCTGATGGCTGCAGTTACTGCACTGATAAAGTTTCAGTATTTCTGAAGCAATCTCATGGACATAGGCTGTTAATTTTTAAATCAAATCACCTCATTTTTGTACCTATTATATTTGCCTTTATTACATGTAATAACAGGGGAAATGGATGACTACTTTTTATTGGTAATTCATAAGTCTCATTAACTTAAGCAGACAATATGAAATAACTGACTTTTTAAAACTAATGCAATTTCTAAAAATATATGCTGTACAGCATAATGCTTAGATGTGGTTCTAAGTTCTGCCAAGTGGCGGCTGTCATCTGACCTCACTGAGACATGACTGACCTCCTTACAGGGTGGTCCTGAGGTGATTCAATAAGGTAATTTGGGTAAAGAGGAACCGCGTAATAAGTCAATAAATGCAGATGACTAAAAATAATTCTGGTAAGCTTCATGATGTACACCTCAGAAAGAAGTAGTAAATAATTATTCTATTTATTTCTAAAGATCATTCTAAAAAAATATTCTAATATATCAGGTCCTTTTGAAATCACTGTTGGAACTCATAGCGCCTATGGATTGAAAACTAGTACCTCAAATAACAGTACTGCCTGGCAATACTTGGCTACCTAAAACAACTTCAAGAGGAGGAGGAGGAGAAAATGGCAATACACAAAACTAGTAAAACTCTTCCTCAGGATTCCTAGGTTCCCTTTGAGAGACATCAACCTCGTATGTAACAGAGAGTAAGAAAAAGCACAGAAAGCTGAGTGGCTACTAGCAAATTCTTTCGCCAATTCTCCATCCCATTGAGAAGCTCCTTAAAAATATCTGTACCCCTTGGTCCAATAACCCAATTATATCGAAGGAACTCCTGGAGAGGCTCGAGGCGCCAAGATGTTCATGAAACACTATTTAGAACAGAAAAAAAAAGTGAATGAAAAGTCCAATGATAGCCCTGGCTGGCGTAGCTCAGTGGATTGAGCGCGGGCTGGGAACCAAAGTGTCCCAGGTTCGATTCCCAGCCAGGGTACATTCCTGGGTTGCAGGCCATAACCCCCAGCAACTGCACATTGATGTTTCTCTCTCTCTCTCTCTCTCTCTCTCCCCCCCCCCACCCCTCTCTCTCTCCCCCTCCCTTCCCTCCCTAAAAATAAATAAATAAAAAAAAATCTTAAAAAAAAAAGTCCAATGATAAATCAATGGTTAAATAAATTTATCACAGGTTCACTTAAAGAAGCAGTAGTCACAAAAAACAATGTTTTAAAAGCAATCTTTCACAAGTAAATGTTCTAGTGGTGCCACCGAGTGAGAGGAGCCCCCACACACACACGCATGCACGCACGCACATCCCTGTGAAGGCCAAAGGCGGGACAGAGCACGGCCAGCTGTCCGACCTGGGTGATCGCACAGGCGGGGTTTTCCTTTTCTCTGCACTTCGCGACTTTCCGATAGTTAAAAATGAGAATGTACAAATTAAAATAAATGCAAACGGACAAACTTTTTGGAAGTGGGCATTTGATCATAGTAAACGTTAGTTGCTTTTTTCTGCATTTGCTTTGTCAGCTTAAGTGTTCTATTTTCTATCAAAAATGCCAATTTAAAAAGCTTTTAAAAACCAAAGACAAAATGCACCTGCTTTATACATCACTAGCTTCCCCACACATACACACACACAAAGATGTCTCCCTTCACCGGGGCCACTCTTTGAACCCTTTCTCGCCCTCCTAAGTGCACACAGTAACTCTCCTTGTGGGCACTTTTCTGGCGTGATTTGCACAACATTTTTCGAAATCAGCAGGAAATCCTTCAGATTATTTCACTTCCTCCCTGACCCTTGAATTGGAGCAACTTTCCTTTTGTGTAAATCAGAAATTATCAGAAAATACCAATTTGAATTTATCCTTGGATGCGGCCCAAGAAGTGACATCATGATGTCAAGGGCTGGATTACCACTACTTAAGAAAGACAGGTGGGGTTGATTTACAGTCAAATCGAAGCACATCAGACACAGTGATGGGGAAAAAAGGGTGGGCTGTCAATTTTAGGGGCTATTTACTCCTGACAACATGCACAGGACAGTTGCAAGGCCTCTGCGGTACTGCTCCGCTGCATCTAGAAAGAAGGGGAGGTCCGTACTCCGATATCAGTCTTTTCTATTTTTTTAAGGATTTTATTTATTTATTTTTAGAGAGCGGGGAGGGAGGGGGAGAAACAGTGACGTGCAAGAGGAACACTGCTCCGCCACCCCTGCACGCCCCAGTGCCCGCAACCCTCCAGTTCCTGGGTCCGCGCCCCACCCACTGAGCCACAGCAGTGAGGGCGCGGCCCTCTCTCCGTGTTGACACGCAGCACACGGGCCAGAGTCAGCCCACTGCCCCCAGCCTCTGTGCCCCCTGTCAGCTTACAGGCGGGAGAGCTGGACTTGCTGGAGGAGTCGCTGGTGAAGCTCTGCCTGGAGCACTCACAGTCGCTGAGCGAGGCCGTGCTTTCGGACAGCCTGGAGGAATCCGCGTCGCTGAGCTGGTCCTCACCCACACACTGCTTCTCGTCATTGAAGGGCATCTTGTGTCACTTGCGTGTGGGTGAAGAGCTGGACCCTGCACAGACAAACAGACCCCGTGTCAACGTTCTGCGATGCTTCACCGGAGGTGCCAGAGCTTCCTCCAGGGCAGATGCCCGTGTCGCGTGTGTCGCAGAGTGGGAAAGGCTCCCAGAAGGTGACCTAGTGCTCCGCACAGCGTCCCAGCCAGGCTGTCACTAGGCCTTCAAGACTGCCTTCCGGAGAAGGGGTTCTGCAGCCACAGGTGTGAGCTTAACTCAGAACATCCCCCATGTGAATGCGGGCTCTCCGTGATAACGGGCCCTCAGAAAACAAAGCGCAGAACACAGTCTCTCCTCCTGGGCTGCTACGACGTGGGAAGGTAAGAAGAGTAAAAGTGCAGGGCTCTGTTGTCAGACTGACTAGGTGAGAAGGTCATGCAGTCTTTTGCCACGTGACCTTGAGGAAGTCACTGACCTTCCTACCTCATCAGTAAAACGGGACTGAAAGACTAATCCCACAGGAGTACTTGGAGACGAACCCGGGTTCATCTTATTAAAGTGCGTAGTGCGGCACTCAGCTGTTAGCTACCGTTACTGTTCCTGTGTCTTTGTTTTGGGTAAAATATTTTTGAGATCAGCCTCATTAGTTGTCTGCGAGCCTCCCGAGGAAAGGAGATGGCTAATTAAAGGCCAGTCCTTAGGTTCTTCTCCATCCTCCCACGGACTGCCACGATACGAAGAGTAAGGACCGACACTTGGTTTGCACCTGACAATTCACGAAGTACTCGCTACCGGCCAATGGACAAATAGGCACAGAAGATCTTGATTCACAGGCCGTGGGGTCAGACTCCGGGGACAAGAGGACTTACTGTGACATAAAACCAGCCCTTGACTCTACATTCAGTGCCGCCTCTGGAACCTCAGGCTGCCTCGCAGGGCAGAGCAGTCAGGCCCCATCGCCCCCTCGAAAGGAGATCCTGGGCACACGGGGTGTGTGCTCTGGCCTAAGCCCAGGAGCCTCAGCCAGGCCCGTGAGAAAGCTGGCCTTCGTGTGCATGCGGTGTCGGCTGACACCGAGGAGAAAAGGCATGTCAAATCCTAAAGGAACAGTAATGACAGTAAGGGCTCTCTGAGTGTCTTTAGACCTGAACCAGCTCATGCAATGAGGTGCACAGAGCTTTTAAAGCTGGCAGGATGCGAAACCACAGCTGCGCCTAGCGTGCCTGGGGAACCTGCACAGTTTCTGCCGTGATTCCTCTCCTTATTTACCGGGTGCCTGCTGTGTACCAGTCCCTGGGGAAACTAACAGTGAACAAGACAGACAGGGCCCTGCTCTCATGGCTCTCAAGTGCAGTTACCTAAGACGGTGTGTGCCAGATGCCAGAACACAAGAAAAGGCAAAATAAGACATTGCTGAGGAAATGTGAGAAAGGAGAGGCCGGCAGGGCTGGGATTGAGGGGGAATCTAGACTTTGTGAGAGAAAGAGTGCCACTCTTTATCTCTTGGGTGGTAGACAAGAACGGGCCTGAGTGGGACTGGTTAAGGGTCAGAAGCTCAAGGGCATTTGCACCTGACCTCACCGAAACCAACTTCTTCAGACCCGCCACTCATAGAAATGCCCCTCTGCTGGGCCTGCCACTTTCACAGATGGAAAACCACTAACTTGGAGGTTGCCTCTGCAGACCAAAGGGCAAGGAGTCGAGTGTGGCTGCCAGGAAGCTACCAGGTAGAGGCACTCACCTTACCCTACAGTCCCAAGGCTGGCCACCCACCATGAACACAGGCTATAAAATAGCCCTGAGCCTCCTTTACGCCATGCGCCCTAGATTCCACTTGAGCTTGAACTCCCATCTGCTTGGGGAGGAAGGGGGAGGACAAAAAAAAGCATGTTCCCCAATCCTTTCACTTCCACCAAACCCCAGATCCTGCATGGGATGAATGCTTGCCCCTCCCTCCGGCTTTCTCCCTTTGCCAGTATTTTACTTCTCATGGATGGCATTTCTTAAAGACGCTACCTCCTCCAGAAAGCCTTCCCTCTGTGGTCTGGCCAGGGCCAAGGGCACTCTTCTTTGTACCCCCAAAGCACATCTCCTGTATCTTCATGACAGTGCTTAGTCACCTGCACGGTGATTTGTCCCCCATGCCTACGTCCAACTCTCCTTGGCAAGGCAGGAGGAGCTGTGTCTCGTCCACCACCAGTGTCAGCTACGTGACAAGTATCCATTTGGCGTCAGCGGAATTGGAATCATTGAATCCCATCTGGTGCAGCCTCAACCAGAACATTTGCAAACTGATAGCACTACCCATTCGCACAGGCCTGGTGCTGCCAGAGTTCAGCACCGGAGCAGAGAACCCACACCGAAACCTACCTTACTAGGTTTAAGACTTAACATTCCCTGGTCCTTATCACATTCCTATTTGAAAATCCTAAACTGTGTTTCCACTTTTTTATTTTTTCCAGTCGTTCCACGATAACAATTGTGCTAAGTGTGGCCTACTCTTCTTTCTCTTTGCTTTGGCTGTTTTTCCAAGTAAAAGTGCATAAAAGCTTTCCTCCACTGGAATTTATGAAGTAGGTTAATTCATACATTAATCCATCAGATTGATTTCACCATAAATCCATCCATTCTAATTACTAGCTGTCCGTTTCATTTTTCTACTGCAGCTGAGCAGCACACTTTGTAGGTTTTTTTTAATTGTGTTTAACAAGGCAACCATGTACAAAGATTCAAAAAATAAAAGATCTACCTTAGAAGGCAGAAGTCGAAGGTGAGGCCTGCATTTGTCATTACTTTCCTGTGTTTCATGTGCTTTCTGCACATCCAACTGCCCTCCTCACCTCACTCTTCCCGGCATGCTGGCCTTCCAGCTGTAAGTTCCCTTCGGCTCGAAATTGCTAAAATGCGATACGCCCAGAGTTCCATGAGGCATCACTAGAAGTTCCAAGAAATTAAATATGCTCATTGCAGGCGTAGTTAATAACATGCAACTACGCTTTTTTCCAATTCACTGAAGGCAGAATTTCTAGCACAGAGAACGCAACAGAAAACTTAAAAGCTGCAAAATGTTCAAAAACTTGTTTAGTCGGTAGAAGTTTCTCCCACGCTGGGCTTCAGTGCATCCAGGCAGAAACGTTTCTTTGAAGCCAAAGGTCCATTACTACTTCATTGGGAAATTGCCCATTTCCTCATACAGGCAAGCTGATGTTACCTAACTCACAGGGCTGGGGTGACATTTCATTTAGTTAGTGTGTGTGCAGTGCTCGGGACGATGTCTGGCACAGTGTAAACAGGCTGCATATGTTAGTAATTAGTAGTAGTATTTGCTCTTGTTGTTGTTGTTATCATCATTTTAGGCATTAAAAACTCTAGAGGGAAGAAGAGTGTCATCCCATGATGACAAAAACATGTTCCCCTACAGATAAACAAGACTGGTAGTCGGCTAGGACAGGATTCTTGCATTTGTCTGAAATACAAAAGCCAAAAGCAAGTGGCCCATCCCAGTACAAATGGTCTTCTGAAAGTTCCTTCCATCTGTTCTGTTCTTGTTCTCGGGTTTCTGTGTAAGTCATCTGGGGACAATGCCACTTGACTCAAAAAACATTGAGGGTAATTAGGCTGCTTTTAAAACGATTTTGGATTCTCTCTTAGAAAAAGTGATAATGGAACCCGGCTGGTTCTTTAAGAAAAGTCATGCTTCTCATACCAACAAACTTAGATCTACTTAATCTTCACTGTAACTCACAAGCAAAACCACTCAACTTTTCAGGAACACAGCATCTCAAACCTGGAGGATTCACTCACAGGTCAAAGGTAAAGTCAAAGGTGAAGACAGAAGATAACTCCAAGCAAAGCCTCCAATACTACAGTAAGTCACAATTCAAAGAGAATCACATTTTTCATCACAGTGTTCCATGTTTAATAATAATAAATGCAATTATTATACCATTCCTTCCAAGGTCAAAGATTGGGCTGAGGCAGACACTTAAATAGTTCTTGTTGAGTGAATAAATGGGTGAATGAATGGCAGAATGACCACGGATACTTCAGAGAGGGGGTAATGGGTGCAGGGACCTGAGGGGGCCAGTCCTGTGTTTAATAACAGATGGAAGGAAGATTGGTTGTAACTGTTATGAAGATTAATTTAAATAGTCTGTGTCAAGTATTTAAGCTCCTGGTCATCGATTATCAACTATTATTTTATTCTTACTGAAAGAAGTTATGAATTCCCAAAATACCAATGTCATAAAAACAAAGAAAGGCTAGGATATGTCCCAGATTAAAAGATACTTGACAGTGAGTGCAATAGAGGGTTCTAGACTGGGCCCTGTACCGGAGGGAGGAAAGGGACATTATTGGGTCAATTGAGAACATTGTTACAACACTTGAATCTACTTCTGTATTGCAACATTAAACTTACTCAAGTTGATAAATGCACTGCAATTATGTATTCAGGAATAAAGTATGATGTATGCAACTTTCTCTCAAATTACTCAAGTGAGGGGTAAAAAGAGAAAATGATAAAGCATCCGGAGCAAAATGTTAATAGGTGAATATAAGTAAAAGGTAGACAATAGGAAGTTCTTTGTACCGTTCTTGCAATTTTGTCTGTAAGCTTGAAATTATTTCTGAGCTAAAGCTTAAAAGAGAAGAAAAATATTAAACTGAAACGTCAGGTCTCATTCAAAACAGTTCCGTCCCCTGCAGTTTTCAGACTTTGCTTGTTCCCATTGCTGACGGCTCAGATGCCACTCTATTACAAAAGTTCTGTACAGTCGGACTTGTCCCAAAGTCCTGTTTGCCTACAGAATAAAACAGGAAATAGGCTGGAGCCCTTCCAAAGAGGAAAAATAAATCATCCCTTTTAAGAGTTCTCCTCCAGGAGGTTTCCCTTTTCCTAAGAAGTCTCCTGGTGGTGGTTTGCAATCCTTCTATGACCTGCCTTGCCGGCCTCATCCCGTACCCCTCTCCCGCCACCCTCCCCTGCTCCAGACACCACGGCCTTCTTTGAGCTCCTCAGACAAGCCCTACTTCCCACTCTAGAGCACTTGCACCTGCTGTTCTCTCCTCCTGGAATGTTCTTCTCCCTGAACACAAGACGGGCTCCTCGTTGTCATTGAGACTTGAAATGGAATTTTACAACTTCAAAGTCACTTTCCCTGACATCCCCACTCATTCCATCTAAATTAGCCACCTGAGCCCTGGCTGGCGTAGCTCAGTGGATTGAGTGCGGGCTGCAAACCACAGCATCGCAGGTTCGATTCCCAGTCAGGGCACATGCCTGGGTTGCAGGCCACGGCCCCCAGCAACCGCACATTGATGTTTCTCTCTCTCTCTTTTTCTCCCTCCCTTCCCTCTCTAAAAATAAATAAATAAAATCTTAAAAAAAAATAAATTAGCCACCAGGAGCTTACAGCCCTTCCTGGGACAGAGCGGGACTCTCTGAGTATCACTGATGAACAAATTAAGCCACACGCTTACTGAATAAGACAACTTGGGTTTCCCTTCCCGTCTGCCTCGCTCATATTACTCATATTCTCACTATGCAGCCACTTGAAGTACTATAGTTGTTTCTGCATATCTGTCTCCCACTACATTTGAAGCAGCCTGAAGGAAGGAGCTATGCCCAGTACCTTAGAAAATCTACACATTTCTAAGGCACCAGTAGTTCAAACTAGCAAAGACTCACAGTTACACTGTGTCCCTTCACCCTCTCAATGCTCACTGAGAGCAAATGATAGCAAGTAAAGCTAATAGTTATTAGGTGTTTATTATGACTCAGCCCCCATGAAAAGTGCTTTAAAAGTTTTCTCTCCTTGAATCTTCATTACAGCCTTGCTACCTAAGGTATCGCTATTACCCCCATTTTATAGGTAAGGACCTGAGGCTCAGGGAGGGAGGTTAAATTACTTGCCCAAGAACTTGCAGCAGCAGCAGCAGCAGCAGCAGCACAACTCGGATCCAGGCAGTGGATCCCTAAAGCCCAGGCTTTCTGTCACTCCAGGATGGCTGGAGAAAATCTGGCATGCTGCTCATTCTTTCCATTCTCACTCTGCCAAATCGATCTACCTATCACCGCGGGAACATATGCACATGTGTCAGCAAGCTGACCTTACCCCCGGGTGGCTGCTCAAGTGCTATACCGTGAAGGGCATCGCTGAAAGAGTCTATTGTCCAAAATAACTCTCAACCTTACCCCACTGGAGGGACTGAAAATCCTCCATCAGGGAGCCATTCTTTAAGCACTGCAAAAGCCCAAGTTAAAACTCAAATATCAAAAGGGTTAACTGCTCACAACTAGTGTTAAGTCAAAAAGATTTCAAAGTGAATTGCTCAGATTACCCAGAAGTGCCCCGAGGAATGGAACCCATCCAGTTAAGGTTGTCACAGAAAAGAGAAATTTCAAGAAACATGTAGTGGGGATCATCTTTGAAGACCCAGTCTGTGTCAGGCGCCAGGACAACCGTTTACATATGTGTAGTAGAGGGCAAGGAGTCAGTGGAGTAAGTTTGGGCTTGGAAGAAAAACTGCAGATGGTGAGGAACATCTCCGTCTTCTGCAAAATGCTGCTTTAGAACCAGGCCCAAACAGCAGGGCTAAAAAGTTATTCATTCCCAGCAAAGCAAAAACCACAGAGCAGAGAGATAGGTGCTTGCTCCATTCAGCTAGAGAACAGTGGTCTTCATCATACGAGAGCCAACAAAGAGCTAGATAAAGCCAACAAGCCAGTGATTGTCTAAAACAGCAGATGTTCACAGCACATCTAACATGACAGCATCAGGGAGGAGGGTTTCTAGGCACTTCTCATTCTTGGAAACACTTCTCCTCCCACCCCGGATGCCCTGCTTTAGTACCTGTGCCCTCTGGAGCCCTCGCCCCCTGCCCAAAATGGCACTGAAGCTGCTCCCACACATGACCGGGTATCTGCAGCCCCGGGGCCACTTCAAGTCAGGCCACCTCTGTGGGCTGCCAAGGTGATGTATGAACCCTGCAGGCCAGGGGAAAAGTCAGGCAGGGAGCCCCCTAAAGTGGGAAACACTGCTGTAACCTCTTTACCATCAGTGGCTGGTAGCAAAGAGCAGGTCCTCTACCCTGGAGATCATGAGACCATGGGGATCTTGGGGACCGGTGGGGTACTGGGGACAAGGACAATTTGTCTAGCTTCTTCAAGGTAAAAGTAACAGGACAGCCACCCAAGGCAGTATCTCCCAAGCTTTAGTCATTTGAGTACCATTCCTCATGCCCGTTTCCATGTTGCCCTCCTCACCGGTACACTAATTTATCAATCACTTCTCTTTCTCTTCACCTGAATTATGCGTTTAAATACACTGCAGTGAAAAGGAAACTTTGTATCATTGTGAAATCGCTCGGTTAATGGAACAGTTTTTCGTAATACCCACGAAACACAGAACACATAACCACGTTCGTTTGTCCACGTGCCACCTCAAATCATCCCTGTTAACCCCAGGGGTGCCACCAAGAGGAGAGGCTTTGGGAAGCACCAGCAGTCCCCGAGAGGCCGGGGGTTGGACCCCGGGCCTGGCTGACTCCCCCAGCGAGGGCACCCTCGAGGGGACGCGCCGGAGTCCGCTCAGACTAACGCCCCCCGCCCCCAAACACAGACACGCATACCCACGTCCTCCCCTAGCCTCTCCACTCCAGCAGCAGTTTCCTGTCAAAACAAACCCTTGGGGGAGGGGACGGCGGAGGCAGAGCATAGCGCCGGGGAAACCCCGGCAACAAACCCCAAACACAGGCTTCGGGCCCGGCCCGGCCCTCACGACCGCTCGGTTCGCCCCCTCCTGCGAGGCCGGGGGTCGCGGGCGAGAGTGTGTCCCTTCCCGGAGAGATGGTGCGCCGCCGCTCGCAGAGCGGTCGCTGGCACGGGCCCAGCGAGATGTTACACAGCCGCCCAGCGGCAGCGACCCGGCGGCCTCCGGGACCCGAGCCCCGCGGCCACCCCGACCCCAGCCGCGGCTGCTCGCGCGCCCCGCGGCCACGCGGGACGGCAGTGCGAGGTCAAACCAGAGGACTGGCGGGAGCGAGGGGCCGGGCTTTAACGCCCCTGGCCTGGCGTCTCAGGACTGCGTTCTACGGCGGAGCGGGGAGGCTCCGGCTGCCCCAAGCCAACGTGTCCCCCTCCGTCCACCCGGGCCCTTCACCCCGGAGCCGGCGACCCCTCTCCCGGGACGCATACGCACCGGGCCCCGCGCGGAGACAGGCGGCGGAGGAAAGCGACTGCGTGCAGCCGGGGCAAGGGTCTCCGCGTGTCCCTCACCCAGGCCGGCACAAGCACCTGGAGCACTACCCCGTCCCACCACCTCCAGCCTCCCTGTCCCCCCACCCCCGCCCCACGCTGAATTTAAAGGGCCGACAGGGACTCTGCGGAGACAGCCACGGCGCGACCATCACGTGGCGGGCGAGTGGGGGGAAGACAGCACAGGGCCGCGGGGAAGCCAGGGCGTTTCAGGCTCCGCTGGCGGAGCTCGGATGGGATTCACTCACTACAGAATGTGTGTCCGCACGTTAGGATGACAGGAGCTGAAGGGAGCTCCGACTGAAGGTGTTCGGGGTGCCAGCTGAAGGTGTTCGGGGTGCCAACGGGAATGCTCCCCCCGCGGCCCGGGAGTAGTGCAGTCCGGAGACTCCTGGGGGCGGGGAGAGAAGTGTTTACGGAACTAGGGCACCCGAGCAGCCGCGAGCGCCAGGCGTTGGAGGCGGGGCCAGGCCGCGCTGGGGGGCGGAGCTAAACTGGGGGCAAGGCAGGGGAGCTGAGCTGGTCGCTGGCGGCGTGGCGGAGCCGGATGCTCGGCTTCTGGAAGCACTGGATTGACCCTCTTGGGATCCCCGTGGATGCCCTAGCGTGTGGCCATTGCTGCAAGCTCCCCGGCCGCAGGTGGAACTTCTACTACCCGAGTAACCCCCCCATCTAGACGGGGCGATCCGAATTGGGTATTCACTGTCACACCGTTGACACAGAAACAGCCCAAACAACAGTGTGGCAAGTGCGTTTCCAAGCACGTCAGCAACCAGCCGTGTCGCCCACGTCTGTGTCTGCACCTCCACATAAACACGGGTCCAGATTTGCATACGGCTGGACTAGACGATTAACTCCTGGGCGTCACACCCACTCAGGCTCTCTGAAGAGTAAACTTGTGTGCATGCAAAAGATAAAGCATCTCACTTCCCCTAAGCGTTCTTGGCAGCACCTAACTCTCTGCCCGGGAGAAGTTGCGACATTTGTTAATGTAAATAGACAGTGCCAGGATGGGCTCTGTGCTGTCGGGCCTAATGCTTCGTTCTTGTGGGCGTGCTTCAGGGTGTACAGAAACACCCTTCCCCCAACCTCGCACATGAAAACCACTCCATCCTCAGCCAGGTGTAAATTGGTGTTAGGAGATAGTTTCATGAAGGAATGTAAGTAAATTTTATATAGACTGGAGTATTTTTATTTAGTGTTGAAATCAATCTGGCTTGCGGAGGCAAAATTGGTTCTAGGAAAAAACCAGATAGGCAACATTTTAAAGGAGGGGAGAAAGGCAGTTATCCTAAGTGGAATAATTCAGTGTTATAATAGGGATTCATCTTGAGTTCAAACCCTGGCTCTGGCATTTACTACCCATGAGGTCTTGGTCAATGGGGATAGCGGTGACGACTGTCTCATTGGGTTATGGTGAGGATGAAATGAGATAGACTGTGAATGGTTAGAGCTGTAAACACTAGGCAGTCAATTAGTGTTAGTTACTGAAACTCTTTGGCAAACCACTCTGAGCCAAATCATCTGACGATCAGTATAAATTTGTGTTTGTGTCTCCTGATACCATTCTCTCCTCCCTTCTCTAAAAATATACAACTTGATACAAATCAAGAGATTGATGACAAAATACTGTTGCCACCCAAGTTCCTTTCCAGATTCTTTCATGCCCTTGTTTATACAGTTTGTTGGAATCAGCAGTCAGAATAACAGATGTCTCCAATTTCGACTCTTGTGAAATAACAACCACCACACAACAACTGCCATCAACACCCTAAAGTCTCCACAATAGAAAGATTAACCAAAACTACCCCTCAAACTTCTGAACACTGTGACAATGACACATTGCAGCTTTGCTTCCTTTGTTTAGCTTTGTGGGAGCTTAAGTATTGTTTTGCTTTATTGCATAACTTGGAGCAGATGAGCATGAGTCAAAAGAGTTGACCAGTCTACCTGGGTGACCAACTGCTTGACCCCGGGCATAAAGCTCCACTAGGTAACTCTCAAGACCATAAGGAAACAATTTTCACCAAAGCAGGTAAATCAAGTTTCAACGTGCTGAGTTGAGAACCTTGAGGTGGAAGAGGTGGGGTAGCATCAGAGACTCAAGCCCGGGAGAGAAAATAGCCTGGAAACACAATCTTCTGTTACTTTGACATTAAATAACTTGCTATCTGAAAACTTTTTGGTCAATTATCTGACCAACTGCCCTTAGCCTAACTTGGATATTAAAAACACTTTGAAAAAAAATACAGTGCTGTAAAATATTATGCAGTCCCTTTTCAAAATGAGCCTTGCGTCTCATTTCTTGCTCAGATTGCTTAGGCAGTCTTAGAATAAAATCCTCCTTGCTCATATTATGTTCAAGACCTGCTGGGGGGAAAAATGTCTGAAAAGGCAACCTCTTTAGGAAGTAAACATGAAGAAGAAGCTTTCATTTGAGTAAGATGTTATCACACCTAATTTTTCTAGCTTTTTGGGGAGCCCACCTGGGGAACTAACTGGGGAACTGTGGTAATGCAGTTTGTTTTTTTTCCTACCAACTACACAATAGACTAAATTTGCTATTTTGCTTTTGGTAAGTAAGGGCAAGTCAAAAATTCTGCTCAGTAAAGAAATGTAGATACTAATTTTCTTTTTACACACCTGAATTTTAAATTACAATGAATCCTTGAGGGAAAAAAATCAGAAAATCCAAAAGTTTTGTTTTAATATGATTTGCAATTCTTCAACCATTGAACTTGCATAATGGAACTGCATTTTGCGCTGATTTAGCATAATGCAAGTTCAACTATACTACTCAGATGGGACAAAGGTGTAGGGGACACAAGAGAATAATTTAAACATGGACAGTGATTTTGCCCCTATTCTCTCTATGGGAGTTTTAAGGCTTCTCTTCCTGAGTTGATCTCTGTTTCCAAGCCTCTCCTTTTGTTCCAAGCTTCTTACCCAGCCTGGCTTTATGGATGTACAGCCCATCCTGTTGCATAAGACCCTCCACCTGGAAGAGCCGCACAGTTGGTTTAATGCTCTGCTGCTGCGATCTTGACATTTGTAATAATTTTTTTAACAAGGAGCCCCACATTTTCGTTTTGCACTGGACCTCAAAAATTACCTAGCTGGCCCTGATCTCACCGCACAGATTTTGAGTCTAATGTTTAAAGGTACTTATTTTCCCTTAACCTGCCCCCAAATATAAAGAAAAAGAAGTGGGTGTATCCCAGTTCTTGGGAGCCATCGAAGGAACTTTCAGTGATAACTTTGACTGTACATAACTATGACCTTAAGGTGGCCCTTTGGAACCTAACCTCTCACACAAGATAGGACTGCATTGTAAGTAGAAAAGTTGATTGAATGGAACCTCATCTCTCTTTTTCTCCTCCCCCCCCCATTCATCTTAAGCTGCTAGAAAAGGCTAAAATTCAGTAATGTGGGGGAGGGCAACATAAAGTGAAAGGAATAAAAATAATTTTGCTGATACACAAACTAGAAAATTGGTCACTGTATGTTCAAAATTCAACCACAACTTCTTGGCAGATTTTGTCATTTTTTTTCTTTCTATCTTGAATAGAAAGTGGGTTTAGATCATTGACCACTTTTGACAGTTAATCAAACTGTTAATGCTTGATCAAGTTTCCAAAGCACCAAAACCAGTTTTTCCTCTGACTCCACTGAACTGAATTAAGCATAAAATTGGAGGTTATCTCTCATTCCAATTGTTTGTACCCTCACACCTTGAATATAGCCCCAGACCCTGAACCCTTACACACTAAAAGAGTTAACATCCTTAACACCCTCCCTTCACCCTTCCTGGGCCCCCTCCACTTACCTGGAAACCACTGCTGTACCCTACAAAGCAAAAAAAAAAAAAAACGAGTGAGCCAGCTGTGAAGGCAGCTCTGGGCAGGAAGTGGGAGGGGCCCAGGAGACCTGATGCTTGGAGAAGCACCCAGAGGAAGCCAAAAAGGTGATGATTCAGAGCCCTGGCCAAGACAGGGGTCAGCTCTTGACCCCATCGCTGACCATCAGGCAACCCTTTCCTGAATGCCTTCACAGCTCAATTGTGTTTGAATAGCTTGATCTCCAATTTAAACGTACATTAGAAAACCAGTGAGGGAAGAGCTTCTGAAATAAGAGACAAAACTTAGGAGGCATAAAGGAAAAGATGTAAAAATGCGTCTTCAGAGAGCAGGTTCAACATAAAAAAACAAACCATGAGTTAAAACAATGATTATGTGGTGATACCACTTATGCCTGATAGAGAACTTGCACTTGAGAGTACATATATGTATTCTTTATGAATGAAATGCATAGAAGCGGACTAAAAAGTTACTCTCCAAACTGTTTAAGAGGCAAGTTGGGAGATGTTTCTGATTTAGTCTATGTACATGCAAATGGCTTATTTCTTTTACCGTGAGAATGTATTCATTCAGGCATCACTAATACAATTTCACAGTACCGTACGATGATACCACTCTTACCATTGCATTTCCCCCTAAATACACCTTAGTGGCAGTAGGCTATTACACTGCACAATACGTAACTCTCCCATCTCCCTTTTATTCATATTTTCAAAGTCATGAAAACAAATGAAGCTTTCCATATAAATTACAGAAAGGGATAGATTTGCAAAAGGCCCTTATTATTTTCAAAAGATAATTTAATTTAAAATTCTACGCCATGTCAACATTATTTATGCTGGGTGGGAAAATACAAACCTTTACTTTTTTAAGGAGTTCCCTTCAAACCCAATTCTTAGAAAGTCAAAGTCTATGGCATTTACTTGTATTTTTCAGACACGGTTTTGCCCCTACCTGTTATTTCTGAGGGTTTCCTTCCTTTGATGACACACTGAACAGGCATTCTCTCCCGAAGTGGTGTGTGTCTTTAGTTAGAACAACTTGTGAGGGTGAAAAACTGAGAGCCCTGAACATTTGGGGTTTTTAGCGGCACAGTAGCATTTAGCTGAGTTCCTGAGGGTTCTAGTAGGAGGTAGGAGGAGGTCTAGGGGAGGTTCCCTCTAGTAGGAGGGAACAAAGGTTTTTCCACCCTGAAGTTGCCTTTTTGGGGATATTGATTTTAAGCTGTT